ACATTCAAATGAGTCCTGTTTTATTTTAGACACAATACATATAATCACAAGCCAAGAGGGGTTCGGGAGGATAAAAAGGACCCACCCTTCACTGACAAAGTCCAAAATATGGCCCTTGCATGAACACTTTTGTCCCATTTATGACTCTTATGCCATCATAAACTGTGAAAATAACCAATAGAAGAAGGCTTTAAGCCTAATTTAACTTTTATAATTCAAATGACAAAATTCTGACTGAGGAAATGATCTGGCCAGTTTGTTATTTGCCTACAGCTGCACAAAATATTATTACAGCACTGATAGCTGCAATGTAGTCGGGATTATCATTGACTAGACGTTACAGTTAACTGTCACACTTCATTTTGATGGTCCATTTGTTGAATTTAAGTTACATTGTATCTACATGCCAACTAATTCCTATTAGATAAGTAGACTGGTAGGTTGGGGTTAGGGTTGGGTTTAGTGTAAGTTGACATGTACTTGAATCTTTTTTTTTTTATAGTCAGTTAAATGTCTGTTGAAGCAGCAATTTCAGCAGATATTAAGCAGACAGTCTACTAATACTCAAATGAACCATCAAAATAAAGTGTTACCCAGTTAACGACATAATGAATAATTTCATATTTTAACTTCCAAATGAAAGTTTATTGTTTGCCTGGGTTTTTAAGACCTGACCATAAAAATTGAGCAAACGTAAACATTTGGGCACAATAAATGAAACGTTTGAGCTTAAACGTTAACTGTACATTTGTACCCAGTTAAAACAATAAAGTGTTAATATTATTATTCGTATAATACTGTGATAATTTAATTTCCGCTTCAAATCAGAAATCTTTGTTCATTAGCATCTTTTGCCTGTTGTATTTTACTATGCTTGTCGTTTTAAAATGATATTTTATGCAGATACGCTCCCCAACAGAATTTACTCTCCAAGAGAATAACTAATCTCCTAATATTATTTATAAAACTGTAATAACTTATAGTTTAAAAGCACAGTTCCAAAAATATACTTTTTAGTAAAATAGTTTGGCACGCACGTTGACAAAATAGTGGTTATTGGTTATGATCCCAATCCGACAAGCTTATCCATCAAAGATTAGTGTATAAAATGCAGTATTTATTATATATTTAATTAAACATAAAATGGGGCGAATAACTGCATAAAGGTCCACTTTTTCCAAAAAAAAAAAAAAAAAAACTCCTATTCAATGTGCTGGCCATAGGCTTGCATTATATATTAAATACAGAATACACACACTAAAATGCCTTCTGTGAATTGTGCATCATTAGTTTACATAGTAAAAAATCTTGTCAGGAAAGTTTAGAGCAAAAATAATTCATTTTATATACGGGGTGAATTGTAGGCATGGGACGATAACTGGCTAAACCATTTCTAAGATATGTATATGATTTACGTTTTAACGTTTGGTTTGTTTGTTTGTTAAGACAACATTATCTCCAGCAGAAAAGATATATAAAGATGTGTTTTAAACTGTAAAGAAATCTGTGTTTTTAAAACAAATGAAGGCAGCAGAAGTAAATGATTCATTGGAATGATATAAAATGTTAAACATTTAAATGTTTCTCAAAATAAAACGTGTTCAAAGGGGAAAAAGTTTTAGTTTTTTTACTCAGATATTTAAAAAAAACTTTTTTTATTGAAGTAACCACAATAGCATGAAACTGAGATTTTTTTATCCAACGTTATCATCCCATCAGAATCTTATACAGGCCCATGCCTAGTGAATTGTCAACTAATTGAAATACCTTTTTATGTAATCAGCCATGTAGCTCTTCAGAACCGTGCTGGTGGTTAGTAGGCATTCCTCAGGTAAAGAAATCAAGGAGTTTTTGGCCTGCAAAAATGATAAAAAAATACATATTTAATAAGGTTTCACATATTTGAAACAAAGTATTGACATATTACTATATCCAACAGTTACCTTGATAGTTTGTGTAGACATTAGCCCCCTGCCAGTATCTGAGGGAAACAGGTTAACTTAAGTATAATATGAGTGGATGGATGGATGGATGGATGGATGGATGGATGGATAGATAAAGTACAATATAAAGTGGTTACTTGCCATGGAAGTTGACAGGAATGAGACTCTGTGAGGTGAATCCTCTTTCATTAAGCCATCTTCTCAAAAGAACAAACTGAGCTTCGTGAGATAAAGTAACTGCAGGAGCAAATGTAAATAATACAGTTTTTTAACGTGTATCATAGTTTACACCATACTGTAATGTTATAGCGGTAAACAGACGTTAACGTTAAGTTACCTATGGAAAAATCCTCGTGTTTTTTCCGTCGTTTTTTCCTCGCTCGTCTCCCAGCACGGCACCTAGTTTTATTCATCTTCAGCGGTCCACATAACCGCGCGAGCTGAAACTTGTTTTAGTTGTAAAACTATAATAAAGTGAACTAGGAAACAAAAACAAAAATTCACATGGCCAAAACACAGCCGGGTCACGTGATAAAGTTCACCTTACGTCGAACCAATAGGAATATCGTATTTGCTAGAAAGGATACAGCTGCGGCCGGAAGTAAATGAGAAACAGTTGTAACAATTCTTACAACGTCTACACCCCCAGCAGCTTCACCTTACTTTCTACCATGTATATTTTTATATAACTCTCTACACCAGGGGAGGCCAATCCTGTTCCTGAAGAGCTACCTTCCTGCAGATTTCAGTTGCTACCCATATCAAACACACCTGTATCAATTAATTAGGACCTGAACACCATGTGATAATTACAGGCAGGTGTGTTTGATTTGGGTTGCAACTGAAATCTGCAGGAAGGTGGCTCTCCAGGAAGAGGATTGGCCACCCCTGCTCTACACCTACCCCAACCATCGATCACAGTAACGTAAAACAGTAACGTTAATTATACCGAGAATTATTAATATTACCCTTGTTAAAAAATCTATAGGATCTTAAAGGATTCCTAAAATTCTAATAGAGATTCTGAATTTTTCTTATAGGATTTTCACTTTGTGCTATGTAGGACTTTAAATCCTTTGGGACATTATGACTTAATGTATTGAAATTTCCTCTTTGTCTTCAGGATCTGAATTAGATTTGTCGAATTATTAGACTGTGATTAGATTGTGTGTTTTAATGGAATTTCACTTTTTTTCTATAGGATATTTTTGATTCTGTCAATTAATTATTGTGTAGATGGATGTTTTTTTTTCGAAGACCTTAGATTTTTCTTAGTTTAATGATTATAATATGAACATATACAAATTACAATGTAATAAACATTTCAGTAAACATATATTATAAATAAACATTTTAAATTAATATTTATTAAATTATCCATTGAATTTTATTAACGTCTAACCCCACCCCAACCCTCAATGTTCATTCATTCATTTTCTTTTGGGCTTAGCCCCTTTATTAGTCTGGGGTCGCCACAGCGTAATGAACCACCAACTTTACCAGTACATGTTTTACACAGGGGATGCCCTTCCAGCTGCAACCCATCACTGGGAAACATCCATACACACTCATTCACATATGATGTGGCGACCCCTGATGAATAAGGGACTAAGCTGAAGGAAAATGGATGAAAATAGATGAAAGATCTTGTGAACCCGGTAACCCCTGACTGCTATTGGATTTGTTTTTCCTACTACAGATGCTTATGTTTATCGAGGTTATCTGACATTTAAAAAAAAAAAACTAAGAAACTCATAGGCTTGAAACACTTAGTAACAGACAGAAACACTTTTTGGGTGAACATTCCTTTTAACCACAGACGTAAATACTATTGCTATTAATGTTACAAAGGTTATGATTATGGTTAGAATCCGCCCAATCTAGCACTGACGACGGATCTATAGGCCTGTGATTTTATCAGCTTTTAGCATGTAAACAAGTTACCAATACAGCAAACAGGAGTCACTAGGAAATGTTTAAAGTGTCAAGTGAATTGAGTGAAATGTTGTAGGCTAGTACAGGCTACCAGAAGGGTTTAAGGAGGTCTTACAGCAAGTATACATATACATGACTGTAAATAAAGTGCTACCAAAACAACAGAAAGACAGCTTCAACCCTCCTTTAGATGCTCTAGTGTTTCTGAACCACATTTCTAGAGATCCACCAGCTTTGCACATTTCCATGTCTCTTTAACCAAACACACCCGATTCAGATCATCAGCTCGTTAGCAGAGACTGAAATATTTTTATTTATAAGCAATAACACAGTAACCATTAAAAAAAACTACTTCATTGTTTACAAAAAGTACAAAAAATCATAAGATGCTCGGTTTTTAACAAAGCCAAAACTATATATTGACCAAGTTGGTTTTATATTTCACATTCGTGACATGCTCCCTTTATTGTTTACTAGAAGTATTTGGCTTGAAATCACATGCAATTATGAAAAACAACATTATTATATATTATTATATTTAATATTTGCAAAGACTACTTTTCTAAAACTATATTAAGGAGAAAGTCTGAATGTGTGAATATAACACCAACTTTATTTCAATAAACCATATTAAGACAAATGATTGTACAGATTAACAGACTTAAACAGAAACACCAAAAATAATATGTACATGAGGACAGTCCTAACAGTACAAACAGTGGTATTCATCAGTTTTTGTAAAGGCACTATAAATAAATATCATCTAAATATTAATTATAACACTGATGCATCTTATTATGAAGAAATATTCATTCGGGCAGGCACTTTTCAGTTTTTGGTAGCCCGAATAGAAATTTAAGTAGCCTAAATAGAAAATACATTATTTATTAAATAAATGAAAACAAAAACATATTTACTTCATAAAAATTTTGCAGCTATAAAAGACATTATTTATATATATATATATATATATATATATATATATAGAGCAGCAGCATGATGGCGCAGTGGGTAGCACGATCGCCTTACAGCTAGGTCACTGGTTCAAGCCACAGCTGCGTCATTTGGCATTTCAGTGTGGAGTTTGCATGTTCTTCCTGTGTTGGCATTGGTTTCCTCTGGGTGGTCTGGTTTCCATCACAGTCCAAAAGACAAGTACTATAGGTGAAATGAATGAACTAAATTGGCCGAGGGGACTGGTGTGTAAATGTAAGTGTATGGGTGTTTCTCGGTTTTGGATTGCAGCTGGAAGGGCATCCACTGCGTAAAACATATGCTGGAAAAGTCAATAAAATGTAAAAGCAAGCTGTGCATGTTATTTTTTAAAACAATACGCCCAAATCTTGGTCCACTTAAAAAAAAAAAATTATAATTGTAAACTGTGACAAATTTGCAGCAGGACATTTAATGAAGCAAGCAACTTGATTTTAGTGCAATAATAAGAAAGCATGTACTTATTTAAAATTGAATTTAAAAAAAATGGTCCGCTGAACCAGGTAGCAAAGAGTGTTTCTCCTCCTTGTTTCCTGCAACATACAGATATTCAAGTCACCAACAAGAAGTAAAAGACAATCACAGGTAAATGTTGTATTGCTACTCTTTCAACACAGCCTGGACATTTCACTTACAGTGCACTTTAATTTAATATTAATTTAAGTTACAATCAAAGAAAATTGTAGAAGTACAGAAGTTTTTCTCCACCAGTTTGGCACATTTTTTTAGTAATACTGCTGACAGCTGTAAATAAAGCTTAACCCTCTCTTTAAGCCCAGTAATGAACAATTGAATATTAAGTGTAAGACATGATGCCCTTAATCAAGCGATTCGGTGCAATAATAAGACTTGTGCCAATCTTTAATTTAATAAAAACTCACCAGAGATAGTTGATATCAAAGAGCATTTCTCCATCCCTGTAACATGCAGATATAAGTCACACCATCAATAAATAAAAGACAATCACAGTTAACTGCTGTATTGCTACTCTCTTCAACACAGCCTGGACATTTGACTTGAGTTGCACTTTGATTAAATATTCATTTTCACTTACAATTAATAAAAATTATAAGCACATGAAAAATGTTCCCATTTCTCAAAAGTGATATAATTTCTCTTAAAATAATAAACCATCAAGACTGATTATGTTTTGGGAATAAGATAAATGGTACGTTAGCCATTTTCAAATGAATAATCAATCAATCATTAAGGACATTTTCATTGTGAAAAAACTTTTCTTCCAAAAATGTTGTAAAAACTATATATATATATATATTAGGGATGTGCGGAGCAGTCGGTATTTGTATTTGTATTTGTTGAGGGGGGAAAAGTATTTGTATTTGTATTTGTATTCGAGTAAAATTCAAAATGGCGCAAAAATATATATTTTTTCTATTACACTTCTAATTTACATTATAGTGAAAGTATTGTTTAATTATACCCATTATATAAATTATAGATATGCAATATTGGCTGTTGTTTTTGAACATGTGATAAGAAATGTCATTGAAAAGAAAATAACATAGAAGCCATTATCTCATCCATGTTTAAACCAACAACTAATAAAATACCATTGTGAATATTATGAACCCCACCACCACCGTTCTTGTTGAAGGACACTGAATAGACAGAATAAAAACAAAACATACTTCAAAAAACTGTTCTTCTTCTGAAAGGACTTCTTTCCAATGCACAGAATTCCAAAAACTAATATTAACTAAATAAATCTAAATAAAACCCTGCCTGGGAGATCTGGCAGAACAAAAGTATTCTATATAATACTAAAAGATACAGCCCTGCTATTGTCATCTGCCTGCCACAAAACAGACACAAAGTTTTTTTTTTTTTACTTTTTTATGTTTGAAACTGACTTGCTGGGGCAGAATGTGGCTGTGTTGATGGTTTGGTGCTTGTGGAGGATTTATCAGAACATAGCTGTGCTGATTGAAGGGATTGATGCTTGTGGGGGGTTCACAGACAGAATCAGGAGAGGATGCTTTTAGTGCATGTGATAATACATTACATAGAAGGTTGCTCAGTGGCACAGTGAGTAGCACTGTCACCTCACAGCAAGAAGGTTGCTGGTTCGAGCCTCGACTGGGTTCTCCCCATGTTGGCGTGGGTTTCCTCCGGGTGCTCCGGTTTCCCCCACAGTCCAAACACATGCAATACAGGTGAATTGGGTAAGCTAAATTGTCCCTATTGTATGTGTGTGAAACAGAGTGTATGGATGTTTCCCAGTGCTGGGTAGCAGCTGGAAGGGCAGCCACTGTGTAAAACATATGCTGGATAAATTGGTGGTTCATTCCACCGTGGCAACCCCAGATTGAAAAAGGGACTAAGCCGAAAAGAAAATGAATGATTATGCATAGAAGATGTTGACAGATGTTTAATATCTCTGCCTCTGCTGATTTCACTTTTGCACATATTATACAGTATCAGTTTGTTTTATCTGCAGCACCACTGACTGTAAAATGCTTCCACACAGAACCTCAAGTTTTATTTATTTTTTACTGGTGGAGGACCAAGAAATGGCTCAGCAGCAGTCTCACTCTTTTTCATGGTGCCCAAATGTATTTGAGGAGTTTCAAGTTAATGAAAAGTGACGGGAAGCTATGCTAAGGTTAACTAGCCTATAGCATATATCTTGCTGTCTGCAAAAGACAGTAATTTAGACGTACCATATAACTCCCATAAGTGCATACTATTCGACACAACTGCAAAAGCATCGTTTTAACCTTTATAAACGAACGTTAACGTTACTCTGTCAACAGTCTATTGTCTAAATTACCGCGCTAACAGAGCTAACGTTGCGTAAACAGAGAGCACACGATTGCAAACTTTAAAAATGCAGCGTAATGGAAAATCCCGAACAAACTCCGCTACAAGTTTATAAACTGCATCTGGAACCCAATTAAGGTACAAAAATCTATTTAACAAAAATAGTGATGCAGTGTAGTATTTTTTTCGCTCAGCCGAGCCTTCTCTGTCTGCTGTTGAGAAGCTTGCGCCAGAGACCTTTTACCTCCGCCCCGCCCTCCGACTGAGCGTCCGTCTCTCTCTCTCTCTCTCTCTCTCTCTCTCTCTCTCTCTCTCTCTCTCTCTCTCTCTCTCTCTCTCTCTCTCTCTCTCTCTCTCTCTCTCTCTCTCTCTCTCTCTCTCTCTCTCTCTCTCTCTCATGCACTGTGGTCTCAGGAGGAAACGCTGCTTTTTGATATAGTGTTTTTCTTGCTCCCGAATACAAATAATTTTTCAAGTATTTGTTCGAAATAAGTATTCGTAAAAACACGCTATTCGTGCCTTTCCGAATACCGTATTCGGGTTCGGCTCCACTCTTAATATATATATATATATATATATATATATATATATATATATATATATATATATATATATATGTATGTATGTGTGTGTGTGTGTGTGTGTGTGTGTGTGTGTGTGTGTGTGTGTGTGTGTGTGTGTGTGTGTGTGTGTGAAATTGTTAATGATCATTTATCAGTCTATACTCACCATTCTTGTATTTGCTAGAAAATAAACTGCTCCACCAATGACTGCCAGCACTAACAAAACTCCGATTAATGCTCCAAAAATCGTACCTATGGGAGTTCCTGAAGAGCAGTCCTGGCACTCCCCATCTACAAATACAAAAGACATGCATCTTCAATTTTAATCAACAATTTTAATTTACTTTTACAAGGTGCTTTTTCTGTATGCTTTGATTACCCCATTTTTTGATAATTGGTTCCTTGAGGGTTCTGTGGGCCACATAACAGTCATATTCTGCTTTTTCATAGATGTTAGTGCTCTTTCTCAGCTGAAAGGTCCCATCAGGGTTTGGTCTAACTCCTGAAGATTCTACCTCATTATCAGACAGTGCCGTGCGGTATTTCCTTATGGTCAAAATCACATCTTTGGGGTAGAATCCAGTGACCATACAGGTAAGTTTTAGCTTGGCTTTGCCACTGATAATCTTCTTCGCAAACACATGAACATCTGGGGGAGCTGAAATCACAAGTACATTGTTTAATCAATCAGTTTTATAACAATAACCAAATTAATGCTGTACTGTATATAAACTCACAGCCTTCTCTAAGCTCCTGATCTCCATATTCTCTGAATTTGTTGAGCCAGTCCACACACTCTTTTTCCAGGTAGCCCTTGGTGTACTGATTTAGGATGGGCACATTATCCCATTTCCTCTTGGTTGGAAGAGCTTCTTCCACTGGAGCAACCCACTGAGAATCCGCATCATCAAAGGCCAGGAAGTTTCTTCCATCATAGCTGTACTCATCAATGCCTTTAGAAAATCGGACATCATTGCCCTGACTGTCAATTTCACAACCATGTCTCCACTGAAGAACATGAACATCTGAAACAGACACCAAAAATATAAGGCAAAAATTATACAGACATAACGTTATATTAATATAATTAATACAGGCCAAAAGTTTTAATGGTTAAAAAGGTCTCTTCTGCTCACCAATCCTGAATTTATTGATCAAAAGTGTAAAAAGTGTAATTTAAAAAAAGCTGTTTTCTATTTGAATTTAAAAAAATGTAGTTTTATAAAATGTTAGTGATTTGAAAAGTGAACCTGCATCACTATAATATGCTGACTTGCCTGTTCTTTTGACCAGTAGTGTATATGCAGGGTAAAACTGATAACCATTCCTCACCTGAATTATTATTGTGTCTCATTCGTTCCATCAGAATTTTGAGATTCACATTAAACCACTGTTCTTTGCTCTTTCTGGACTGGGTGCCTTTTTCCCAGTAATCTTCCTGCATTTTCTCTTTCATCCAGTGCTGTTTGGGAATCTTCTTCTGCTCTTGGCTGTTGTAATAGTCAATCTGTCTGTCATCAAGCAAACCCATTGCAGTGAATTCATAGATGCCCGGCAGGTGGACAGGTCTGGATAAAGCTGTGTATATGTAGTAGAGGGAGTGTTTTTCTGTATTAAAAAGAGAACAAAACATGAAGATGTCAAAACACATGATCCACATGATTATTTTTAAGAATACATTATGAAAGTAGCGTCATGATGGAGTGGTGACATCTGACCATCACAAACAAATCAGGTTAAATTGTTTTAAGATGTTTTTGTCTTTTCCTTTCAACCTATAGACCAAGTATTGCAACATCTGTAGCTGTTATATTCATTGCTCTTATATTTGGCACAGCTGAGGTCAGTTAAGTCGCTAGGGGGGTTTCGATCAACGGTTTAAAGTTTGAGCAAGCACAACTAAAAGGCGGCACAAGCAGGAGGCTTCATAACCATAACCAGCACACACCATAAACAGGCATATAAACCCTTAAGCCATTTTATACCAATTTTAGGCGATGAAATAAGTAGGCTATAGAGTAATAAGCAACTTGAGAAACAACAATGACGTGGATTAATTTTTTCTTTAAGTATTTAAGAATTATCCTAAATAGGCCACCTAAGAGTAGCTAATTTTGAGTCAAAATAACAGAAAACTCACCGGTCCAGGCTGGTACAACAGTAAAGAGCATCACTACCGAAAACAGAGCGGCAAAAACAGCCATTTTGCAGCCTTTTGAGGTCGCGGCACATGTATTTGGTCTATTTCCCCTTCCAGTACCGTATGGCAAGCCGTTTTAGCACTTAAACCTGACTATCCATGTCAGACTCTATGCCGAAAAGAATAAGAATGAATGAATATCTGTAATTATATATTGACGGGTAATTTTTATTCGATGAGTCAGAATGAAAATGAGAGATATTTGCAATGCTGATTGTACTAAGAAATCAGACATCTGCATTTTGACTTGTCAAAACTCAATAGGGTAGGCAGAGCTATAGTGTTTCTTCCTATAGTGATACACTTCCGGTGAATGGTATATGTGACTTTTTTCCCATTTTATACGGTTCCTTTTACAGCATATATATAGGCCTATATATATATATATATATATATATATATATATATATATATATATATATATATATTAGTATTCATTAAGTATATATAAAATCTGTAATTCTTCTAGTAGTAAATTATTTAGAGATATCTTTAAATATAAATATATAATAACTTTTAATATCTCTTAATGGATTATGAATAGTAAAAACTCTGAGATATCTTGACTTATTATCTTTTATTATAAATGAATATCCTGAATTTGCACAAGTGGCAACTCAATTTGTGATAGGCCTATCTCTAATTTAATTGTCACTAGTAAAACTGTAGAAAAATCTCTAATTACATGTGCCTAATCAAAACTCAATTGAAGTAAATTTTTTTTTTTTTATTGAACAATATGACTAGTCACAAGTATGGAGTGTTTAATGCTAAAACGGCTTGCCATAGTGTCTTCTGTGATGGCTGACGAAGATGTTGAACCGTTATGGGACAGTCAAAATTGAAAGCCCCGCCCCCTGAAGAGCGTAAAATACCCTTTTCACAAGCCTGTTATGACCCATGACGCGTTTAACGGTAATGATAATATATGGGAAGTACCATGTTCACAAACAAAAATGGTTCAATGATAAGCCTAATATTTATTTGTTTAAAATAGATTTTAAGCATTAAATAGAAACCCTAAAAGACACAAAAAACAAAAAAAGCTATGAGAATGTATGCAATTTTGAAATCCTTCTTGTACAAATTTTTTTTTGTAATTTTTATATCCCCTGTAATTTAATTTTTATTTTTTTTTCTCTGTTCTTTCGATGTAAAAAAATGTAAACATTGTATTCCTCATTTTTTGTATGCTATTGTTAGTCTATGCAATAAAAAAATAAATAAAAAAATGACGCGTTTACCGGTCATCAGCATCTTAAACTCTTTAAAGTTTTTAATATTTTATATTAAAAAACGTATGAACATTTATATGTATTTATGTATGTATTATATCATTGCTTTAAATGACAAAAAAAAAAAAAGAATTACCACTTTTGAAATGTTTCTAATGCAGCAGGACAACAAATTTGAGGTTGTTCTTTCTACCGTCATCGGTCTTCTGAAAGACTTTATAACATAATCGTGGAGCTTTTATTTTAACATTTGAGCAAATAAGATTGTAAAAATGTTTTGTTGTATGGATGTTCTCTCATTCACTGCGCTCTAAGTTTTCCCAACTACGACTCACGTAATGGACACCATAGAATCACGTGTAATAACTGTAAATAATTCTCGTTAACTTCCAGCCGCAACCATATCCTAAGTATAGTAACAACCTTAAAAGGGCGCCATTTGAGGGAGCGAGGAGTAGTGATGTCCAAGTGCTTCCACTTAAAGGGACAGTTTAACCAAAAATGAAAATTGTCTTCATTTACTCACCCTTTTACTATTTTCTTTTGGAGCAGTTGGCATTTCTATGTGGAGTTTGGATGTTCTCCCCGTGTTTCCCCCACAGTCCAAAGACATCTGTTATAGGTGAATTCAAAAAACTAAATTGACCGTAGTGTATGAGTGTGTATTAATGTTTCCCAGTACTGGGTTGCAGCAGGAAAGGCATTCGCTGTGTAAAACATATGCTGGATAAGTTGGCGGCTCATACCGCTGTGGCGACCCCTGATGAATAAAGGGACTAAGCTGAAGGAAAATGGAGGAAAGATTTTGTGAAACCTGTAACTGATTTGTTTTTCTTAATACAGATGGCAATGTTTATAGAGGTTATCCAACATCAAAAAAAGAAACTCATAAAGGCTTGAAACACTTAGTTACAGACAGAAACACTTTTAGACGAAATGTTTAGTGTCAAGTGAAATAAGTGAAACATTGCATAGGCTGGTACAGGCTACAGGAAGGGTTAAGGAGGTCTTACAGTATACATATACTTGACTGTAAATAAAGTGCTACCAAAACAACCGAAAAACAGCTTCAACCTTCCTTTAGATGCTCTAGTGTTTCTCAACCATGTTCCTGGAGGACCACCAGCTTTGCACATTTCTATGTCTCCTTAACCAAACACACCTGATTCAGATCAACTCATTAGCAGAGACTGAAAGACCAGTAATGGGTGCAACAGACAAAGGAGACAAGCAAAATGTGCAGTGTTGGTGGTCCTCCAGGAACGTGGTTGAGAAACATCTCGAAAGTGTAATGCTTTTGAAAAATGAAAACTGAATAGTTAAATACACTTTAGTTTTTAATTACAGTCAATAACAGTAATGCTCACAATATCCTTTTTGTACTGTCATCTTAATATTAACAAAAAAGTGCAAAAGTCCACAAGGTGCTCAGATTTTAAACAAAGGCAAAACTACATATTGAGGTAAAATTGGTGTTATATCCATGCATTCGTTCAGTGACAACTTATGACATGCTGCCTATATTGTTTACCATAATTATTTGACTTGAAATCACATGTAAGTAAGACTTTAAAACAACATTAGCACTATTTATTTGACAGTGAGCAATGTTGTTTTTTTATATTCATTGGCTGCTAACATCATTTCACTATTTAGAATTAGCAAAGAGCAATTTTCTGAAACTATATTATCAAGGAGAAAGTCTGAATGTGCCAACTTTACCTCATTAATCATATTGAGACAAAAATAATGTACAGATTAACAGACAAACAGAAACACTAGAAATAATATGTACATCAGAGGCCACTACAGTAAAAACAGTGGTATTCATCAGTTTCTGAAAACACAGTAAATGACAGAAATGGAATAAACCACATTTAGGAAATAGCTTAAGGCCCCTAATGAACAGCATGAATATATACATTATAACACTGATGCATCTCATATCATGAAGAAATATTAGATCAAACATTATATATATATATAAAAGCCGAGAATGAAATTTAAATTAAGCAACTAAAATAAAACAATCACAACATCATTTTACAATTCAGTGAGAAACCAAAAAGTATAAAGGAATGCTTTACTTTTTATGGAGCGTCGAGGATCATTTTATAATACTTTCATCAGACAAGCTCTGAATTACTTTTATGGTTGCTATAAAGTGCTTATTTTTAAAACTGGTATTGAAAATGTGTCTACTTTCCTCTTTTAGATGTTGGAGAAATAAGGCAAAAACAAATATATATATATATATATATAAATAAACAAAACCAGATTTTCAGAAAACTGTCAACAGATTTAACTGTCATTCTGCCAATACAAATCTTCCAAAATAATCGGACTTTAACTTTTCAGATCTCCACCAGTAGATTGTCCTTCTGCAGCTGTCGGTTTATTTTTGGACTCCTTCACTGAAATACAAACATAAACATGTTATTCATTTATTATATGCTAATAATTTGTACTTATATATAGAACTGCAGCTATAATACACCAACACAACACATTTGAAATAAATTTATATTCGTAGCATTCCATAAAGTAAACATCACTTTTGAACTTTGGCAAAATATCTACCAACAGTACATCGATGTACATACATCACAGCCCTAGAGCAGTTCTGGACATTACTGCAGTCTGGACCCCCATCAAAATATTCCCATTAAACTCCCAAGTCTTCTCTCAACCTCTCACTGGTTTCCTATCCCTGCTAGCTCAATAGCATAGGCCCATATCATGGCTTACTTTCAATTTTGTCGACCACAGCAGTCTGTTAGCATTAAAAAGCACTATTTATTTACGTTTTAGAGGGGTGAATGGAGTAAGCTTATTTAATAGACAATTCAAAAAGAAATCTGCATATCTCAGTAAAACTATCAGAAGTGGGAGCAGTAACTCAATTTGCACACTGCTGTCACCTCCCCTGTTGTGATCCTTAGATCACATACAGTTAAAAGCAAACATTTTTAGCGTTCCTTTTAAATTGTAATTATTTTTAGGTATTATTAATTTTCAACATGTAGGAAAAATTCACAGTATTTTCTATCTTTTTTTTTCTCTGGAGAAAGTCTTGTTTCTTTTAGTTTGGTTGGAATGAAAGAAGTTTTAATATTTTGTACAAAAACATTTGCAATGTCAATGTTATTAGACCCCTAAGAATTTTGTCTTTTCTAATTACCCTAACTTAGTTAACCCAATTAACCTAGTTAAGCCTTTAAATTGCACTTTAAGCTGAACAGTGTCTTGCAAAACGCTGTTGGGAAGGACAACCTGTAATTCTTGCAGCCTATAGTAAAAACAGAAATGTGCTATACAGTTGTAACCAGGGGTGTGACACTGACAACAGAGGTGAGGATCCACATGCAGGTTCATTAGAATGGTCAGGCAAGCAGTGGTCAATACAGGGGCAAACAGATGTATGAGGGCAATCCAGAGTCGAAGTCAAATTAACAGGCAGATGGTCACAAGGCAGGCAGTAAACAGGATGAAACAAATAAACAAGGCAAAGGATCAAAAACACGGCAAAGGCAGACAAAGGAAATGCGTTGTAGTGTCACTATAGCAGATAACAAGACTCTCAATGAGTGTCTCAATGTAAGCTGTATACATGTGTGTGTAATCAGTACTTGAGCAGCATCAGCTGTGTGTATGCAATCAGTCAGGATCAGGAACCGGTTGTGTGTGTGTGTTTCATGACATATATATGAATATGTGGTCCATTTACAAGCAGATTTGTAGCCCTATGTGTGTATAAGTGTTTACTAGCGACCTCTGGTGGTTAGATCGCTGGTGATCATGACAACAGTATAGTGAGAACACTCTTGCTGCAATAGTATAACATTTAAAGTTTACTTACCAGATGGTTCAATGTGTTGATTATTATTTAGCGGTATTGCACTTGGATCATTATCCCCAATTCCTGCCGAGAAACATTGAAATGTCAAAGTGTGCTGTACATAAGATGTTACTTTGTTGTTTTTAAAATGATTCCACAAAAAATGTGTGCAGCCCAACAACAACAACAACAACAACAGTGAAATAAGCAGTGACAATGGACAAATGTTGTGTCATCAAGGCTTTACACATCAGTTTAGATAGCCTGAAGACATGATGTATTTAATAATGCGCTTACATTTTAGTGCATTAATAAAAACACACATATACAGCATTCCTTATTTCCTGTAATAAGTCCACCATCAACAAACATATCAGAAACTTTGTACGCTCACAGTTAAATGTTGTATTGTCACTATTTCACAATGTTAAGTACACAGAAAAGCAGTCTTTCCACATCAATTTTGGCACATTTCTAAAAAGGCACTGTTACCTGGAAAGAGTGCATTTTAAAATATATCAATGACAGCAAACAATTCAGGTTTGCTGAAGCTTTAAAAAAAGAAAACTTGCAAATAATATATATTTTTTGATATGTTAAAATGACATACATCAACTATTATAAATTGTGTTTAGATAACTGCACTCTTTTCATGTTAAAGAAACATGAAATATCTTATTGTGGACTGATTACATTTTGGGAATAAGATACATGGACCTTTACCGTTTTTGTAAAAGGGTTTCTTGGGAGCTAAAGCGTGACAGATAAAAATCAGTTAAGAATAGTTTTAATACAGATACAAAAATAACAATGAATGAAACTGGATAGAAAGACATTGATTAAGACAGATTAAGAGATTTAACCCAATATACAGTAATGTTATCCTGAGTACATCCATTCAGCATTATATATTTAAACTAGGGCTGTCAAATGATTAAAAAATAACTAATTAATCACACTTTTTTTGTAATTAATCATGTTTAATCACGAAACGCCGTATTTATTACAGAAATAAAAACACAGGCATGTAAGTGCCATTTGAATTTCAAAAGAATCAATGCCAATAACAAACAAAAATGATTTTGGGTGTTGGATTCTAAATGGACAACAAAAAAAATCCAAAATACAGGCATTGCAAATATGGAAAATTATAATAATAATAAAGTATTGAATACAAACAATTGTACTCATTGTAAAGTTGTATTGCGAGTTGAAAACATTAATTATAAAGTAGAAATTTTTTTGCTTAGTTCTCCTTAACATTGTGGCCAATGTGACAATGTGGCCAAGGGGTACCTCAAAGGCACGTACCAAAGACTACAAACTTCTTTCAGGGACTTTGGTCACACCATCTCTAAACATTTAATTATAAACAGCTTTGAGGGATATGGACACCGCAAAGACTATAGAATACATATAGAATGCCTTAAAGACACTTTGGACAGTCAGCGATGTCAGGCGTTTGCTCTTGTTGCTAGGTAACGCACACACGCGCACGCACAGACAGTGGGTGCAGTACAGTGCACACGGTGAGCGAGGGATCCCTTCAGATTCATCAACAGGCACGATCGCGTTTATTTAAGCGTTTGCTTAAACTAAGCTTTCTAAAGTATGGCTTTATTTTACAAGCAAGGATTCTGACACAACAACGTGAAGCAGACACTTTACAAAAGTTGCGTGTATGGGGGAAACACGTCAAACTTAATAAAACATATGAAGGCGCATGGAATCAACTTAAAGGCAGAGGAATGGGCTGTCTTTGACAGCTTGCGACATCATCTGTCACTTTCACTGAGTACATTTACATCGACACCAATACTTCACTTTTATGATTAAGATAATACTCTGATTAGAGTCTACCATGTAAGCAGCGATTTTTGATTATCTTAAAGGACCACCGAGTCCCAAAATGCGGAGGTTTTTTTTTTGTTTGCCATGCAGTATCAAATTCCATTAAAACAACACTCTTCCAGCAGTCCTTACTTCATATTTTTGTCCAATAATTGTCACGTGGCATGAAAAATATGTTGCTGAATGAGAGTGACTTTCCTTCTAAAAGCGCGTCCTTGTTCTTATCCATATTTCTTTGCATGACAAGCACGTCGGCCACAACAGGAAATAAAAAAATTGCAACTGCGTTCATTTTTTTACGTGTTAAATATTTCAAATGAATCGAGTGCATTATCGCACAAATTTTGACAGCCATAATTTAAACTTCTGCAACAAACACTCTGTCGTGTTATTATTTAATTCACATACTTAATTTAAAAATGTAGGGTTAAAAAAGGAAAAAGGGGAAAAAAAAGAGAAAAGAAAATGTTAATAATCTACTGTATCAGTCTCTACTCACCTTTCTTCCTTGTTAAGACCAAAATTACCAAGCCAATGACTGTCAGCACAAACACTGCTCCGATTATTGCTCCAACAATCATACCAAGGAAAGTCACCTTGGAGCAATCGCTGCATTTCCCATCTAAACAAATGCAAAATTAGACATTTACAAAATATTTTATTAAAAGGGACAGTCTTACTCCTTCTCCACTTGTTCCAAACCTGTTTGAGTTTCTTTCTTTTGTTGAACACAAATGACTAATGTTGTGGGGAAAAGGAGCCATTGACTTCCATACATTTTTTTGTTCCTAATATGGACATCATTGGCTGTTTTTCCCAACCTTTCTAACATAATTTTATCACAAATAATATTAACACAAGAAAGATATTCAAAAGAAGTTTAGAACCACCTAAGGGTGAGCTGTTCCTTTAAATATTGACAACAGAAAGTGAAAATTGTAAGTTCCCAGGTTTTGTCATGCTTTTTGAATCTGTATGCTTTGATTACCCCATTTTTTGATAATTGGTGCTCCAAGGGTTCTGTGCTTCACATAACAGTCATATTCTGCTTTTTCATCCTCGTAGATGTAAGTGCTCATTCTAAGCTGAAAGGTCCCATCATGGTTTGGTCTAACTCCTGAGGATTCTAGATCTTTATCAAGCAGTGCCATGCGGTATTTCCTTATGGTCAAATACACATCTTTGGGGTAGAATCCAGTAGCCAGACAAGTGAGTTTTAGCTTGGCTTTGCCATTGATAATGCTCCTTGCAAACACATGAACATCTGGGGGAGCTGAAAATACAAGTAGAATTTTTTATCAATTCATTCTATAACGCTAACCAAATGAATGCAACATAGGCTCATTCTGAAAACGTACCCTTATAAACATTTCTGAAGATCATAAATGATGTAGCCAGAGGAACGTATGGCTGCATTTCAAACGTTACGGGGTGGTATAATGCATTTTCTTTTCTCGCTTATCATCTGATTGCTTACCTCCGTATGGGTGGTTTTCCTGCTGTTGTCAGTTTGTCCAGTGGCTTGCCATGTACGTTGGTAGACTTGTAAGGTGTAGCAGAGCTGACCGCGATCACGAAAAAGAAAATAATCAAGTAAATAATAGAGTGCGAATGTGGTAAAATCTGAAAACGTGGTAAAAATCTGACTGTCGCAAGGGCTTTGATTTTTCTGGATTGTTTTTGAAAACACTATCGGTTGGGTTTAGAGAATGAAGGGGGAGGGTCAGTTGATCAGTCCGTCAGTCAGCCCCTGGTGGATTTACATGAGAACAGCAGGCACGGATGGCACTCGCAAAATAATATTGAGATCACAAAAAGCATATATACGCAACGGCCTCTGGTGGATTCGTGAAAACAAAAACTGCAAAAAAAAACCAAAACATTGCTACTGGCATGTATTTGGTGCTCAACAGAAATGTATAGACTAATTATTGGTTTGTAAATATTCACGATGCGCGTGCAGCGAGGTTACAGAAAAAAACATTTACAGTTTTCTCCATCATATCAAATCTAGCATTTACAGCGAGGGAATGACATCCGATGCGGTACAGAGTTTGTTGTTGTCTTAGAAATAAGTTATATTGATTACACAGTATATATATTGTTTACATAATGCTTTCAGCTTAATTTAGAAGCTTGTCACTCAGTGATCAGCACAGTTATTCTGCAAAATTAACGTTAAAGTGAGCGCGTTCATCTGACACGTCTGTTTGCAATAGCACCCTCCTAACGGATATTGGATAAGACGAAATGGCCAAGCATCCAGCCCAAAATATACAATCTCATTGAAGCTCCAAGTGTTTTAACAAAAGAGAAGTTAAAGGCCTACAAGTCTTTGGATGCCAACAATGTTGTTCTGTGTGGATATGTGCAAGAAATACTGTTCCATGATTACCAGATTCAAAACTATGTAGTGCTAAAAACCGAGGTTCTGCCTAGCCAATGAAAAAGACAGAACTGTGCAAGGCCTGGGTAATTAATCATCAACAAGCAAAACACCTGCACCTGTACAGCAGGGTATGTGAACTTTTACACTTCATTCTTAGCATTCAGCACTCAGCAATATTTAACTGTTTTTGCTGAAATCATTGCTGCTATCAAAAACAAGTGATGTGTATGATTCAGCATAGCGTGAACTTACCTGATATAAACTGAGAACTGCAGAGTCCAGCATTTCTAATTAGGTCCTCACTCCATTCAGCTCTTCTGATGGCTGTTATCTAAAGACGTCTGCAGTTGGCATCAAAAGCATTGAGGTGTACAGTAAAATTTAAGTTCTTTATTTTTGGACTTTCGGTTTTGGCATCATACAGCACAACACAATATGTTTCCTATTGCAACCGGCCTTTTTTTTTTTGCAACTGGTATGCAGGGTAGAACCCGTGCGATGTCATAGGTTGGTAATTCACCTATATAATGGTACATAATCAGAATGAGCCTGGGTTGTATGAATACTGTATGTTTACTTACAGCCTTCTCTAAGCTCCTCATTTCCATATTCTCTGAATTTGTTAAGCCAGTCCACACACTCTTTTTCCAGGTAGCCCTTAGTGTACTGATTTAGGATGGGCACATTATCCCATTTCCTCTTGGTTGGAAGAGCTGCGTCCACTGGGGCAACCCACTGAGAATCCGCATCATCAAAAGACAAGAAGTTTTCTCCATCATAACTGTACTCATCAATGCCTTTAGAAAACCGAACATCATCGTCCTGACTGTCAATTTCACAACCATGTCTCCACTGAAGAACATGAAGATCTGAAACAGACAATTTAACTGAGGTGAAAAAATCTAAAGCAAAAATTACACAGATATAACGGTGTAAAGATATAAACAATACAGGTCAAACGTTTCAATGCTTAAAAAGGTCTCCTCTATGTTACCGGCTCCAGACCTAAGGGAATCTGGACGGGCACAAGCCAAATCATGCACAAAACTGTGAATGATAAGGAGACAGACATGTTATAGGATTGCCTGAGTGCAGTTTAATATAACAAAGATATTTACTTTTTTTTTTAAAGCTAACACAATGTAAAGTGTTCCGGAATAAAAACCAAGCGTATCTCGATAAGATGAAATTAAAATGTGTCACTTCAGTCAATACTCAAATTACTCAATGCAATGTAACTAGAATTTCTATGTGAACAAAAGACATTAATACATGAAACAAAAATACTCAATACACTTGAAAACACTTCTTAGAACACAGTATTGGTCCTAATTTGAGATGCTGAAGTATTACAAAAAATATTAAAAGAAATCATTTCTTACCCCCATATATAACTACTAGCATAAAGGAAAAAAATATGCAGATCATTATAATTAAATCAATATAACACGTTCTTTCACACCTTTTCCAAATTACATTACATCAGCATTTATATTAACACTTAATAATATTAACATAACATATTTAAAAGAAATGCAAACAATATAGAATTAAATACATTTCCCTTTTGCTCATTTAATAACCTCAAGTTATTGAGAAAGCAAATTAGGACGTTTTAAAACCAAAAACCCTGCATTAAAACATTAAACTCTTACTATCACTTATTACTATTCAAATTAAATATTTTGGGAGTGTTATGCTTTCAAAAACATTTAAGAAGAGGATCACTACAAAAATATACCCCATATAAACTTAATCTGGCTGACATTCATAACAAATGTAACAATTACTTAACAAGGAGGTGTTTAGAAAACGATCTAATGCATATTTCTGAATGCCTACATCACTACAACATGCTCTGTTCACATCCCTTCAGTTAACCATTAACTAAACATTAGCTTCGGCTACTTTTGCTAACCACGAGTGGCTATAACGTTTACCATATAATTAAACCAAAAACGAATCAATTTATAGAACTAACACATTCTAACATCAGTTCAAAACATTTCTTTAGAGTAAATATTTCAGACAGACCACTTTAAATGAGCGTTCATCCATACCTGTGGCCTGTGCATGATAAGGACACAGACACCGTTTATAGTGGCGTTTAATATGAACTCGAGCTGCCGGTTTATTAATAACCATTGATAAACTTTTAAAACCCATCTCATCCTCACTTATATCTGCAGGAAGAGACAGTTCTGTCCTTTTCTTGTTTCACTTATCATAGAACATGGTGGTGCTCGCCAATACACTGTTCCCTGTATTCATATCTATTCAAAAGTAATATTGCCATTAAAAATTTGATTTGATCCATAATGCAAATGCCATTAACAAATTACTAAACAACAGTATACTAATAGCTTTCACGTTGTTATTGTTACAACTTAAAAGTTCACAGCTGACCTTGCTAGCTAAGCTATTGCGATATTGCACATTAGGCAACACATACAGTACATTTGATCGATTTACAAAAAACTAATTAGATGATAACTTTTTTGAGTTGTGAGTATTTCATCATAACTTACTGAAGGTGGTGTTATCATACCTGTGCATAATTAGGGCACAGACACAGTTTTTAGAGCCCTTTAATATGAACTCAAGCTGCCGGTCTCCAAGGTCAGTGGTTCTCAAAGTGGGGGTCGCAGGACAATGAGAGGAGGTCGCTTGGGGATTTCCAAAAATCTAATAAATTTGAATAAACTTTTTAAATTACCATTGTTTATCCATAACTACAGAAGATTAAAAAAATAGTTACGTAAAAATGCAACATCCAAACAAAAAGCATCAGCCTTTCATTTTTTTACCTATTGGATTGCAACCTGGGGGGGGGGGGGGGGGGGGGGTTTACATTAGATTTATAACAGAGCGATAGCGTCAGTTGCAATAGATTGATTTTACATTTAAAATAAATACAGGCAACATGGAGGATGATCTTAAAGCGGTAGCATCCAAAATTAAAGCCAGAAAAGACTTGGGATGTAACTTAAACTTAATTATTCATGTGCTTTTGAAATCTGAAATTTTGGCATCACTACAATATGCTGATTTGCCTGTTCTTTTGTCCAGTAGTGTGTATGCAGGGTAAAACAGATAACCATCCCTCACCTGATTTATTGTGTCTCATTCGGTCCATCAGAATGTTGACGTTCACATTAAACCACTGTTCTTTGCTCTTTCTGGACTGGGTGCCTTTTTCCCAGTAATCTTCCTGCATTTTCTCTTTCATCCAGTGCTGTTTAGGAATCTTCTTCTGATCTTGGCTGTTGTAATAGTCAATCTGTCTGTCATCAAGCAAACCCATTGCAGTGAACTCATGGATGCCCGGCAGATTGACAGGTCTGGATAAAGCTGTGTATATGTAGTAGAGGGAGTGTTTTTCTGTATTGAAAGAGAATAAATAAAGAAGAAAACAGTGTTATGATCTAAATATATTATCATTTTAGATCCGGTAGAGATCCACAACCACAACATCGGTCAGTTGTCAGCTACATCTGTCAACACTGAAGGCGGTGCCAGGAGGTTTTTTTCCTGAACCGAAAGTATTCGCTTACGCCTGGGAGGCCATAAACAGATCAAATAACCTACACACACCATAACAGGCATAACCTTTAAGACATTTTATACCATTATTAGGCGATGGAATAAGTAGGCTATATAAGCAGCATGAGAAACAACAATGACGTCGATTAATTTAATTTCGGTATTTAAAAAATATCCTAAAAAGAGTAGCTATATTTAAGTGAAAATAACAGCAGACCAGTCGTGGCTGGTTCAACATCAAGGGGCATCACTGCCAACAACAAAACGACAAAAACAGCCATTTTAAAGCCGCGGTGTGTGTCTTCCCCTTCACTGTGGCAAGCCGTTTCAGCATTGAACTCTCCAGTACGCATTATGACAAATCCATGAAAAAATATTTCAGTTTCTCTTTTCTTAGAATGACTTAACTTGATGTGCTGTAAAAATATTTTTTGGAAAAACATTTTTTAAGGTACTAAAAAAACGTCTAACAGTGGATCTAACTTAGAATTTTCCTTATAATTAATCATTTTGTTGTTTGAAATTATTTAATTGGTGTTGCAGTATTTTAAGCTTTAAGACAGAACTTATAAATGACACCTTATACATATGTTCCAATAACTCATATTCCAATAGATTTCTTTTTTTTTTTTTTTTGCTGAATATTATTGAAAACAAACATAATTTTGTATTATCATACAACATACAGTGAATATAAATGTTTTCTCCGGTAAATATAGCAAATAAATCTATGCAAATAAATCCAGATGCATTAGAATAAAGCTACTAGATAACAATGTTTATTATACTGTACTTTGCCTGTCTTATTTGCCTCTGAGCTAAATTACCTGACCTGTCTTCATCACTGCTCTTATCAAATGTCCAATCTACATCATTCTCATGGTCACTGAAACCCATCTCATCCTCACTTATATCTGCAGGAAGAGTCAGTTCTGTCCTTTTCTTGTTTCACTTACCATAGAACATGGTGGTGCTCGCTAATACACAGTTCCCTGTATTCATCTATTCAAAAGTAATATTGCCAATAAAAAAGAGATTTTATCCATAATGCAAATGCCATTAACAAATGACTAATCAACAGTATACTACTAGCTTTCACGTTGTTATTGTTAACTTAAAAGATCACAGCTGACCTTGGCTTGCTAGCAAGTGTAACGGAGGCCAGCTAGTGAGTGCTGTGCAGGTAAACCTCACTCCTCTGACCTCTAAAGGTGCTCTAGCGACAGAAGCTAGAGGCCATGGTCTTTAGCCTCCTTGGTAGAGCACCCGATTCCCATGCAGAAAGTTGCTAGATCGATACCATCTCGGAGCAGGTTGGGTGGCGTTAGACCGATGGGGTTACTCAAGCTAAGCTGTTGCAATATTGCAAAATCTATTGGACAGTGTTGCCATTTGGCAACACATAGCTTCATTTGATCGATTTACTAATACTAATTTGATAACTTTTTTGGTGATGTTTCACATTTTTTTGTGGATCTGACATAATTTGATCCTTTGTTTTTATTGACTTTTACATTTGCATTCAGCAATATCAACTACTCTCAATAAACACCATTTTGTCAGAAATCGTGCTACAGAAAAACACTGCACGTCATGTGACTTAACCAAAGCACATCACTGGCTAAGCTAAGATCTTCTCTTTCCAACCAAAAAATTAGATCGTTGGTCTTTAAGAAACAAAATGAACAAATATCTGTTGCAATATGGTAACACCATGCGGTACAGGAATAAACTTTTGTTCAGACTATCCAATAAATATATTTAAAGAAATCTCTCTAATTATATTTTGATGAGTGATATTTATGATTTGACTTGTCAGAATGACAATTAGAGATCAGATTTAAGATATCTTTAAATATATTTTGACTAGTCAAAACTCAATTGAAGATATCTCTAATGATGTTGTAGATTTCCCTAAAAGATGCATTTATATTTGCAATGGTAATTCGCGATATCTCTTATTCTGTTTTGTGTCACAATTATATTTAAAGATATCTATCTGCAGTGCATTTGCTGAACGTTTTTAGTGTGAAAAACTCCAGTAACTTAAAAGTAAGGAAGCTAAAACGTATTTTGAATATTTTATTATTATATAAAAGAGATGTATTGTCATCAATAAATGTATATCCTTTATCACAAGTAGTGCTGGAATCTTTCATTTTACAGTTTTGATAGGCCCTATGTTTGTTTCCATGCACCTTGTGAAGTGGTGGAGACGCTCCAGATCTGATCTCTTAAAGAGAGATTTGTCAGTAAACAATAATGTACAGCAGAAGCCTCTAAAAGTGAATAAGAACGTTAATTAAAAAAGGAATGAATCCCATATTATTATTACAGTACAAATTCTGTACAATAATATAGAATAAAATAACGCATTGTATTTGAAAAGGTTAATAATAGTAAATATATAAAATGTGCATATCTATGTATAAGACTATAATTATAGTATAAATAATAATAAATTAGTATTCAAACTATAATTCTAGTAGTGGAATTGCAACAATTTCAAAGGACATAGGCAGATACTTATTATATAGCAAAATAGACAACAACAATATAGAGTGTGTAGCGAGTAATAATAACAGCTGCAAAATGTAGGCTAAGTAACAGATTAAATAAAACTTAAAACCTCAGTTATTGAAGCACGTGTGGCAAGATTCTAAACAAATATTTAAAATTATCTTCAGGTTTTGTCATTTTACCACTAGATGGCAGCAAACACTGAGCAAACTTTCATTCTTTCATTCAGTGTGTGTGTGTGTGTGTGTGTGTGTGTGTGTGTGTGTGTGTGTAATGCATCGAGTTTTTAATTTAGTTTAAGCCATACATTTAGAGTTTTTTCTCATTTATTCATTTCTTGTTAGGAAATGAAAATGGATTTTGTTGTATAAAACTGTACATGCTGGTTCTTGTTAATAATATAAAAAAACGTTCACTGACAATGCAAAGCAAGCCCACAAAAAGGCGGGACTTGGCAATGCGGGTAGTCTGGATGTTATGATATCTGCAATTACATTCTACCTTGTCACAAAGCTGAATGCAGATATTTCCAAAAAAAAGATTTTCCTTGTCAAAAATCTGATTGAGATATCTCTAGTGACATTGCAAATATCTTTAAATTAGTTTTGACTAGTCATAAAATTATTATTACTAGTAAATTGCAAGGGGTATTTAATGCTAATATGGCTTACCATAAGCCACGCCCCTAAAGAGCGTAAACCAATACTAAAACAGAAAGCGCTGCTCAGCATCAGCATCACTAGTAACTGGGAGAAAGGAGAGATGTGGTGTTTGAGTTCTGTTCTTGTTGACACGGATGAGAGGACAGATATGTAGAACTTCCAACAGAGATTTACACGATAAAACAAACGTTATTAACTGGTTTTGTGGCAGATAGCCAGCTATCAAGTTAGCATAATATGAACACACAGCTGCGATTTTCATCCGATTTTCATTTATTTTGTAGGGGGAAGAGGTTTGGATAAACCTCTGGCGATCAGCAGTCGGATGCTATTTTTGGCATGTCAGAAATTTGGGTTTGGTCCTACCTTGGAATCGCACAGTTGAATAATATCAGCTGAGTAATTTAAAGAATCTGTCATATAAAGACATTAAAAGATTTTGAAAAATCAAAAAGCAAGATACTTTATTTTATTAGAGGATTTTATTACTGGAAAATCAAGCTAATACCAGCTCAAGCTGTGTTATGGAAGCTGGTGGTAACTGGTTAGAACACCCAATTCCAGCTTACTGTATATGTTTGCAGTTGCATAGGTTTCAATGGCAAATTTAATCATCTATTTTCATTGGTAGATTTAATGCTTTGTTGATTAATATTTTTTTATTATTTATACACACACACACACACACACACAGTTGGTCAGAATTATTACCCCCCCCCCCCCCCCCCCCCCAAACCCCTGGATTATTAGCCCACCTCTTTATTTTTTTTCCTAATTTCTGTTTAATGGAGAGAAGATGTTTTCAACACATTTCTAAACATAATAGTTTTAATAAATCATTTCTAATAACTGATTTATTTTATCTAATGTGGTGTTGATGCTGCTGCAGAACAGCTTCTCCAGATTACTGCCCACACACAGATGCTTCTGTAATTGTTAGGGTCTGATTTGTCTCCACTTTTGAATATGGGTGCTATTAAATTCTTTATTCCATATGTCAGGAAAATGACCAACACTCAGAAACTAATTAAACAGTTTCATTATAGCCAGTTGGAATTTGTGATATATTTTTAATAATTTAATAAATTAATATACTGTCTGGACCACCTGCACACAATATACATTGTAAAAGTGCTACACAAATAAAGCTGAATTGAATTGAATTGAACTTGCCTTTTTTGTTTGTAGAACTTTTATAGGTATTTTATCTCTTAGCTCTTTTTCTGTTATTGTCTAACAGATTTTAGTATTTGCCAAATATTTGCTCTGTATAGGTTCATTTATTATATATTGTTCTGTACTGTTTATTTTACTAAACAGTTTTTCAAAGTGTTTTTTCCAGTTGTCTCCATTTTCTATTGTTTGCTGTACAAAATTCTTTATCAGGACGTTCCCGTTGGCCAAGAAATTGCTTGAATCGACAGATTCTTTGATTGTTTTGAGCTGTTTTGGATTTACTCTTTCTTTTTTCTGATTGTGTTTTTATATTTTTAAGTTGCCTGCCGAGTTACAGACCAGCATAAAGGTATATACTGTAGGCCTACTGCCACCTACGATCATGATGTGTGTAAAATCATGGCTTGGCGAGGTTGTTTGAGTCCACATGGCCTCCTTTTAAAAAATATTATTTTAGTGGTTTAATAATACAATCATATTAATCATAACAATAGATGACATCAAGTACAATAATACACAAGGAAAATTAATAATAATAAAAAATACTAATAAAATAAGATAATTAAAAACAGAAATTAATAATATTTAATATTCACTAAGTTCTTATAAAATTTCACAGTTTTAACACTTTTTTTTGCTGTAAACATTTTGTGAAGTAGTAATTAAATAATTTAAGTCTCCATATGACCCTTGTTTTGGGTGAGTCCGTGTTGCTATGACATCATAGAAAGTGCCTAGACCCTAAATTTGCGGGAAATCCGCACCATTTCAGAAAAATGCGAGATCTGCAAAATTTTGTGGGGTTTACTTGATTTTGCAATAAATTCAGCAATCGCAGGAAAGGCTTGAATTAAAGGATTATGCATTGAATTGCAGTTTAGTCTCCTCAGCTGTATCCCTTATAGACTTTACCTTGATTTACAGCTGTCAAATCTCTTAAAACACAAAATAAGATATTTTAAAATCTCATGAAACCTGTATCCAATGGCTTCAATTGTATTTGTTTTTCCTACTATTTATGTCAATTTACCAATGTTACCAACTAAAGGCATGAATACTATTGTCTACATATATAGGCTCTTTAGTAAAATGAGACTGTAAAGTAAAATTCATCACTGCAACACAGCAGATAACCCGTGTCCTGCTTTAAATAGGCCTTAATAAAATAATAAAGTGAGAGACTCTTACAAAGGTTATGATTATGGTTAGAATACACCCAATCTAGCACTGACGATAGGTATTGGCCTGTGATTTCATCAGCTTCTAGCATGTAGATAAGTTACCAGTAAAGCTACAAGAGTCACAAGGAAATGTTTAAAGTGAAATGAGAGGTTAAAGAGGACTTACAGACATATACATGAATGTAAATAAAGTCCTATCAAAAACAGCTTTAATGAAACTCTTGTGTTGAGTTACTTTTAGAATTGAAAACCGAATAGTTAAACACACTTTAGCTTTTAATGAATAGTCAACAACAACAATAATAATCACAGTAACCATTTTCCACTCTTTTTTAAAACCACTTTATTGTGAAGAAAGTGCAAAATTCACAAGATGCTCAGATTTTAAACAAAGCCAAAACTATATATTAAGGTAAAGTTTGTTTTATATTTACGCATTCGTTCAGTAACAACTCGTGAAATGCTCCCTATAAATGTTTGGCTTGAAATCTCATGCAAGTATGACTTCAAAACAACATTAGCTCTATTTATTTGACTGTGAGCAATATTGTACTTTGATAGTCGTTGGCTGCTAATATGATTTCACTATTCAGAATTTGCAAAGAATACTTTTCTGCAGTTGCATTATTAGGGAGAAAGTCAGAATGTCTGAATATAAAAACCAACTTTACCTTTTTTGTAAAAGCACTACAAATGACAGCTATAGAATACACCACATGTATGCTATAACTTTAATAAGGAACAGAATAACTTAATAACAAGAAAATATCCTTAACACTGATGCATCTTATTATGAAGAAATAATACAAGATCACTCATAATTATTTATATAAAAGCTGAAAATTAAATCTAAATTAAGCAACTAATATAAAACAACCCTTTTAGAGTGAAAAACTGAAGAAAACATTTTCAATTTTTTATAGAGCATTGAGGATCATTTTATGATACATTCAGCAAATAAGCTCTGGGTTTTTTGGTGCTAAAAATGTGCACATATTTTTTAAATCGGCATTGAAAATTATCAAGGGAAAAACAAGAAAGAAAAAAAACACTCAACTTCATCTTTTAGATGTAGAAATAATAAGTCAAAACATCTGTAAAAAATATATAATGAACAAAACTAGATTTTAGGAGAAATTTTAAGAAAAACAAAAGGCAGGGCTATCTATGTTGACCATCTGATGATCCGACTTTGTTTAACTCTTCAGTTCTCTCTCAGTAGACTTTTTTCTCTTCATCTAACAGGAATTTTCAACTTCCAGTGTTTCCATCAGTAGAGATTGTCCTTCCGCAGCTGGTGGTTTATTTTTGCACTCCCTCACTGAAATACAAGCAAATACATGTGATTTAAAATAGAATTAAGATTTGTACTGATACATATAACTACAGCCAAACTACACCAACAAATTTTAAATCAACTTATCGTCTGTGCGCCAGAATGTAAACTTACAAACTTTGCCAAAATAGCTACCTACACCGTTGTACATTCTGTACATTACTGCGGTCTGGACTCCAAAAATTGCAGTCTGGAGTGGACTTCCAAAATATTCACATCAAACTTGTCTCTCTCTCAACCCCTCGGATCCCTGTCTCTGAGTCCAATAACGTAGGCCAATAGCATGGCTAACTATCCATTTTGTTGATTGCCTGTTAGCATTATAACACAATATTTGGACAATATTTATTTAACAAGGGTGAATGGAGTGAGCTAATTTTACCACAGTACATTTATAATGCTAATAGCCAATTTACAAAGATAAAAAAAAAAAAAAAACAGTAAAACTAACAGAAGTTGAAATCCATTTGCATTAAACCTTTAAAGGCCTTTAAATTTATATATATATTTTTAAATATTTCCCAAGTGATGTTTAACATTTTCACAGTATTTCTTATAATATAAATTTCATCTTTTAAGGAGTCTTATTTTTCCCAGAGATGGGTTGCGGCTGGAAGGGCATCCGCTGCGTAAAAACTTGCTGGATAAGTTGGCGGTTCATTCCGCTGTGGTGACCCCGGATTAATAAAGGGACTAAGCCGACAAGAAAATGAATGAATGAATAAAAGGAGTCTTATTTCACTTTTTAAAAGCACTTTGAGATTTTTTTATAAAACATGTACTACCATTATCCCTTACAATTACTAAGATGGCACATTTGGAAGGAACTAAAGTCGCCACTGGCTTGCTTGGTTCATGATCTATAGAGCTGCGCATCGATGGATTTGCTCTTCAGTGTTTGCACTCTCAGTAGTGATTATTAAATCACACTGAACTGAGCTAAACTGAACTGAACTTAAACTCTAAAAACTGGACTGACACTGTTTCAATTTACTATGATCTTCTAAGATGCTTTGACACAATCTACATTGTAAAAGCGCTATAGAAATAACGGTGAATTGAATATAATTGCACATAGTTACCACATTGTCCATGTTTTCCTGGGAGCGAGGACTGCTTTCTGAACTTCAAGCACTACTCCCTCTACCTGTTGAGGTACAGTGAAATGTCAAAGTGAGCTGTGCTTGTCATATTTTTAAAACAATGTGCCAAAACTTTGTCCAGCAAAGGAAAAAGTGGAATTGTAACCTGTGAAAGTCATGCAGTAGAAGATGATGCATTTAATCAATCAATTTAATTTTGCAATAATAAGAAAAGCATGTGACAATCTATAATTGAATGAAAAGAATATTCACCATAGTTGGCCGAACCATTTGGCATAGAGCGTTTCTCATCCTTATTTCCTGTAACATGCAGATATTCAAGTCACTCCATCAAGAAATAAAAGACATCACAGTTTAATTTGGTTTTGCTTCTTACTTCAACACAGCCTCGACATTTCACTTTATGCACTTTGATAAAAAATATAAGTAAATGGAAAATAGTTTTTTCTCCACCAGTTTGGCACATTTCTCAATAATACTGCTAATAATGTACATGACTATAAATGCCAAAAACAGCATCAACACCCCTCAACCCTCCCTTAGATAATCTAGTGTGTTGTCGCTTTTAAAAATGAAAAAGAGAAGAGTTAGACACTTTAGAAGTGTAGAACTAAACATCAGAAATACACTTTAGTTTTATTTATTGATACATTTTGATTTATTTTATTTCATTTTATTTTTATTCTGAGCAAAAAAAAATATTCACTTAAAACAATTCTTTAAACAAAATACACTTCATCATGGTTGAAAAGTATTTGAGTTTTTAAAGATTACAGTCAATAATAATAATAATGATAATAATAATAATAATAATAATAATCTTCACAATAACCTAATGTTTCACCATTTTAAACTCAACTTGCTTATTGTTAACAAAAAGGAACAAGAAGGATATTCACCAGAAACAGTTTATACGACAAAGCGTTTCTCATCCTTATTTCCTGTAACATGCAGATATTCAAGTCACCATCAAGAAATAAAAGACAATCACAGTTAAATATTGTATTGCTACACTTTTCAACACAGCCTGGACATTTCACTTATGTTGCTTTGATTGAATATTAATTTTTACTTACAATTAATGAAAAAAATTCCACCGGTTTGGCACATTTCTCGAAAGTAATCTAATTTCTCTTAAAACAGTGAACCATCTAAAAGTACTGTCACCTAGAAGGAGTGTATTTTAAAATATACCAAACATTCCTTTAAAATATTACTAAAATATAACAGAGAGGAAATGTTCATTAATCAGTCTCTACTCACCAATTATGTTCTTCTTTTTTAAGATCCAAACTGTTACACCAATGGCTACCAGCAGAATCAAAACTCCAATTATTGCTGCAATGATGGCTATGGGAGGCTCTGAAAGGTATTCACCATCTACACAAAGGCAAAGACAAGTATTTTACATTTGAATCAATTATTTCAATTTAGTTTTGACAAAAGAAAGTGGAGGTTCACAAGTGGTATTTCTGTATGCTTTGATTACTCCATCTGACGATAATTGGTTCCTTGAGGGTTCTGTGGTTCACATAACAGTCATATTCTGCTTTTTCATCCTCATAGATGTTAGTGCTCTTTCTCAGCTGAAAGGTCCCATCCTGGTTTGGTCTAACTCCTGAGGAATCTAGATCATTATCAGGCAGTGTCGTGCGGTATTTCCTTATAGTCAAAATCATATCTTTGGGGTAGAATCCAGTGGCCATACAGGTAAGTTTTAGCTTGATTTTGCCACTGATAATCCTTCTTGCAAACACATAAACATCTGGGGGAGCTGAAATCACAAGTATATTGTTTAATCAGTCAGTTCTATAACACTAACCAAATGCTGTATGTTTACTCACAGCCGTCTCTAAGCTCCTGATCTCCGTATTCTCTGAATTTGTTGAGCCAGTCCACACACTCTTTTTCCAGGTAGCCCTTGGTGTACTGATTTAGGATGGGCACATTATCCCATTTCCTCTTGGTTGGAAGAGCTGCGTCCACTGGGGCAACCCACTGAGACTCCGCATCATCAAAAGAAAGGAAGTTTCTTCCATCATAGCTGTACTCATCAATGCCTTTAGAAAAGCGGTGTTCATTCCCCTGAATCTCAATTTCACAACCATGTCTCCACTGAAGAACATGAAGATCTGAAACAGACACCAATTAAACTGACTGTGAGATGAAAAAGCAAAAGCAAAAATTATACAGATATAACGTTATAATGATATATGACCAATAATGGTCAAACATTTTAATGCTTAAAAAGGTCTCTTCTGCTCACCAAGCCTGAATTTATTTGATCTAAATAGAGCAAAAAGTAGAAGTGAAAATTTGAAAGACTTTTTACCATTTAAAAAGCTGTTTTCTATTGGAATATTTCTAAATGTAATGTATTCCTGTGATTCTAAAGCTGAATTTTTAGCTTCACTTGAGTTTTTTATGTAAACTGTTAATAATTACTGATGATGATAATAATGATAATAATATAATTTGAAACAATAAACTTGCATATTAGAATAATTTCTGAAGGATGATATTAGTGGATTTAAAATTACAGTAATAAATGACATTACAATATATACAAAAAGTTATTATATATACATAGGTTTTTTAAGTAGTTCTAAGTTATCATAACCATCCCTCACCTGAATTATTGTGTCTCATTCGGTCCATCAGAATGTTGACGTTCACATTAAACCACTGTTCTTTGCTCTTTCTGGACTGGGTGCCTTTTTCCCAGTAATCTTCCTGCATTTTCTCTTTCATCCAGTGCTGTTTAGGAATCTTCTTCTGATCTATGTTATTGTAATAGTCAATCTGTCTGTCATCAAGCAAACCCATTGCAGTGAATTGATAGATGCCCGACTGGTCGACAGGTCTGGATAAAGCTGTGTATATGTAGTAGAGGGAGTGTTTTTCTGTATTGAAAGAGAATAAAGCATGAAAATGTCAAAAACACATGATCCACATGATCATTTTTAAGTATACATTATGAAAATAGTTTCATGATGGAGTGGTGACATCTGACCATCACAAACAAATCTGGTTAGACTGTTTTAAGATGTTTTTGTCTTTTCCTTTCAACCTATAGACAAAGTATTGCAACATCTGTAGCAGTTATATTCATTGCTCTTATATTTGGCACAGCCGAGGTCAGTTTAGTCTGTCTGGGGTTTAGTCTGTCTGGTAAATCTCCAAAATTGTCCGGGATTAGAGAGAAACATTCTATAATTAATCATTTGATCTAAACGACTCAAATAAACTTTTCTATTTACTCAGAGAGGATAAAATTAGATCTAAACTGAAAATATACGTACACTGTAAGAAATGCTTAATTAACTCATTTGCCTTATTTAAATGATCTACATTTATTCTTGTAAATATCATAATTTTTTAGATTTCCTTTATGCTATTTGTTTCTCATTTGCTGTATATATTAATTTGATGCTGTTGATATCACATATTTTATACATTTCTAACATGCTTTGGCAATACTGTACAAAATGTCAACAGCAGTTTTACCTGTTAGTGGGTGCACATGGCTCCTGAATAGAATAAAAGTATAGTAATAATGGATTTATTGTTTTATTTCGTATCTTTTCTCTTTAAAATCTTCAACCCCTTGAAAAGAAACAGTGTATAATAAGTAACAATATTGGTAAAAATCCCTTTTTTGGTTGCATGTAGGTAACCTCGTGTCATGGGCAAAAGGTTTGTTTCAATCCGGCAACCACCATTTGCCATTTGTATTTCAAACCTGTGGGCAGCACTGATATCCTACTTAACAATAATAATAATAATATTAAATTAATAATAAACAATATTATCATTAGTTACATATTTAGAGGTTGTCATTCATAAAGACAAAAATTATCGCAACATGCTTAATATTCAACCCATAAGGAATTAAACTAAGACGAGATTTAATATCTGGCTTCAAAGAGATTTATCCCTGAATGGTAGGGTTTTACTGTCCAAAGCAGAAGGGATATCAAGATCTGCTGATGCGTCTTTAACTCTAGAGATGCCCTCTAATTTATACAAAGACTAAAGACAAAATGCTATTTTGGAGGAATAGACATCACTATTTAACAAAGGAAATTATGTGTAAACAAAAATGCAATGGTGGGTTATCCGTGTTAAGTTTTAAAACTTTAAACAATACATTCAAAATTGGTTAATTAAATTCATGTAAGAAAAGAACAGTATGTGGTATACTTTTCCAAAAACACATATTTGACATGATGGGGGTATAGAATTTCTGTTGAGATGTAATTTTAAAAGGTGCGACGCGGTGGTGCAGTGGGTAGCATGTTCAACTAACAGCAAGAAGGTTGCTGGTTTGAGCCTCGGCTGGGTCAGTTGGTGTTTCTGTGTGGAGTTTGCATGTTCTCCCCGTGTTCGCGTGGATTTCCTCTGGGTGGTCCGGTTTCCCCCACAAGTCCAAAATGGTACAGGTGAATTGGTTAAGCTAAATTGGCTGTAAAGTGTGTGAGAGTGTATGGATATTTCCCAGTGATGGGTTGTGGCTGGAAGGGCATTGGTTGCGTAAAACATGTGCTGGATAAGTTGGCGGTTTATTCCGCTGTGGTAACCCCGGATTAATAAAAGGACTAAGCCGAAAAAAAATAGGAAATGTAATTTTAAATTTGACAAAATTTCAGTGAAATTTGCTAAATTTCACAAACAAGCTTTATTGGTCTGGATGCTGGTATTTAAGCATAAATTTTCCCCAAACAAGTATATTATTTACAATGGTAGATGTATTCAATATAACAATAAATCTCTGTTCTTCTTCTTCTTCGTCTTCTTCTTCTTCTTCTTATTTAATATCTTACAGTGAATTTTAGATACATTTGGTTTTCCAGCTACTCCATATTGTATTTGATACCATATCTCAACAGCTTCTTTATTTTATAAGAGAGTATGGAAATACATTTAGAAGGAAAATTTGTTGAAGAAAACCTTTTTTTAAAGAAGATATTGATATTATTAAACAAAGTTATACTCATAAATATATTAGAAATATTATAACAGGTCATACAGTTATATATAATAGTTTTAAATGGACCAATGTATTCATGAATATAAAATGGAAAAAAGCTTGGCGTTCTCATTAAATAGTTTGTATAAATAACTAAGTAAAAGAAGTTACATTTAAAATTTTACATTGTATATATCCAGTTAAAGAGGTTTTAGAGAGATTTAAATTGGATATTGATTAATCCTGTGATTTTTGTTACATGGAAACGGAATCTATTGTCCATGTTTTGTAATTGTACACAAGGATTTTCTGGGTGGATGTGGAAAATTTTCTTAGAAAAACAAACAAATATTGTATTCAAGTTACAAAATTTTGATATTTGCATTTATTATGTCAATATATGTAAAAAATGTACCTTTCTAGTACAACTTTTTATTATTATGAGAACATTTCATATACAAAAAATGGACTGGATCAAAATTTTGTTCACCTTCTTCAAGAGACTAAGGACTAAGAAGCTAAGAAGAGCTAAGAAGCTAAGAAGACTTGTCATATGCTTAAGGAATATAAGATTTTTATTGCTGAATATTTTTTATGTACACTCTGGCATATATTTGTGTATAATAGTAATAAAAAAGATCAACGTTAATTCAATGTCAAGAGAAACGTATATGTAGGTTGAAATTATGTCATTTTGCTATCTAGGTCCTTTCATTAACAAGTTTCTAGCCTGTTTTTATTAACAGGTCATACTCAAATAAAAATGTGCTCTATAAGGTTTTTTAGACAACAGTGTTTTGATCTAATTATCATTTTATCAGTGGTGCCCCCAGAAAATGTTCTTAGGGGTGGCCAAGTAAGGCCACACCAAATCTTGGGGTGGCACCCAATGGCACCCTATTTTGAGCCACAATATATTAATACATGTTCTTCTATTGATGTACCTTTTTGCAAAATACACCCACTAATCATTGAGATTTCTGGCCCTTTAAAGTCAACCAGCAAAAAAATAGAGTTGCTAAATAAACTAGATTCTGGAAAGCTGATTTCAAAATGCATTTATTTATTTATTTATTTTGGATTCGTGGTTTTCAATCAGATAAAACCCAACTTTTCATTTCAAGAATAATAATTTCTTAATAAAAAGTGTGAAATCTCCGTGAATCAGCCACATATGTGTCACTATCCACAATAATTTAGTGGCTACATTCTTTTATTAATTACTTTATTTATTGAAATATTGTGAATTTACGTAAGTCCATTTAAATTAATATTATCAACAACTAAATCATATTGGGCTTTCCACAGTGGTGGCCAGAGTTTACACCTGAGGGGCGCCCGGCAGGCACTTTTTTCCAGGGGTTTCAGTACAGCGTAACCGCTACAACGTCATCGGGTGGGCGTGGCCTTTCTGTGAATTTGCATAGGTCACGGATCATGCGCAGATTGTGAAAACAGCCGTTTGATTCAGATACCTGTACGTATTAGCACGGGTTTCGTGTCAAATGCATTTTATATGAAGTACAAAATAGCTGTCCTGATCGCAGGTGTTTCATGTGAAGTCAGTGTATGTTATATTAAACAAATTAACTTAAGATACCTCTCAGATTACATTAATACTGTTATAACTTAAGATACAACTCGGGTATCCCAGGGCTTTTGTGCCAAATACTTTATATATCATATACAGTAACATCAGATACCTGTCCTGATCCCAGGGGTTTCATGTATGATCACTTTTATATTATATACAGTAACATCAGATACCTGTCCTGATCTCAGGGGTTTCATGTATAATTACTTTTATATTAGTTAACATCATATACCTGTCCTGATCCCAGGGGTTTCATGTATGATCACTTTTATATGTATTAACATCAAATACCTGTCCTGATCCCAGGTGTTTCATGTATGATCAATTTTATATTATATACAGTAACATCAAATACCTGTCCTGATCCCAGGGGTTTCATGTATGATCACTTTTATATGTATTAACATCAAATACCTGTCCTGATCCCAGGTGTTTCATGTATGATCAATTTTATATTATATACAGTAACATCAAATACCTGTCCTGATCCCAGGGGTTTCATGTATGATCACTTTTATATTATATACGGTAACATCAGATACCTGTCCTGATCCCAGGTGTTTCATGTATGATCACTTTTATATTATATACATTAACATCGGATACCTGTCCTGATCCCAGGGGTTTCATGTATGATCACTTTTATATGTATTAACATCAAATACCTGTCCTGATCCCAGGTGTTTCATGTATGATCACTTTTATATTATATACAGTAACATCAGATACCTGTCCTGATCCCAGGGGTTTCATGTATGATCACTTTTATATGTATTAACATCAGATACCTGTCCTGATCCCAGGTGTTTCATGTATGATCACTTTTATATTATATACAGTAACATCAGACACCTGTCCTGATCCCAGGGGTTTCATGTATGATCACTTTTATATTATATACATTAACATCGGATACCTGTCCTGATCCCAGGGGTTTCATGTATGATCACTTTTATATGTATTAACATCAGATACCTGTCCTGATCCCTGGTGTTTCATGTATGATCACTTTTATATTAGTTAACATCAGATACCTGTCCTGATCTCAGGTGTTTTGTGTATGTTGACTTTAAATAAAAATAGAAAATAAATATGAGTTATGTTAATTAACTAAGATCGAGAAAGAGAAATTAACCACGGTTTATTACAGAAAATGTGGTATTTATTTGTTTAAACATGACTGAATACCATATTTTAAACTACAAAAACACAGTTCATCTTACCACAACCATTATTATTTAGTTTAAAATGGGAGTACAAAAGCCTAGAGACAGTAAAACGGAGTAATACGGATTAAAACGAGGTCAGCTGTTTTTGCTAATTAAATCTTTAAAATATAACATTACAACAACAAAAAAATAACCTGTATGATTGTTTTTTCCTTCGTTTTTCACCGCGGTAGGTTCTTTATGCATAATCATCCTGTTTGAAATGACCGCGCTAAAAAAGAACCTGTACTGCGCATGATCGGTGACCTCTTCTTCTTCTTTCTGTTTTATGGCGACTAACTCATTAAAAAGCATTATCGCCACCTACTGTACAGAATCTTACTCCGATGATGGGTCTGAATATTAGAAAGGGCAACAGAAAGAAACGAGGATCGGTGACCTCTCAGTATTGTTTTTTTTTAAGGGGGCGTTTCCCAAACACGACCGAGCCACACCCATTTTACGTCGTGGTAATGAAACCCCTGGAATTGAGTGCATGCCGAGGGCGCCCCTGCATTTTATTGGATCCGGTAGAGCAGGCACAACATAAGGCGGTGTTGCCAGATTGGGTTTTGAATTTGATTGTGCGGGTAAAAAATGACATAGGCGGGTAGAGAAATGTATGGCGGTTTTGAAAACGGCGTTCCCCCGGGCCCCTTCATGGTAGCCTCCAGATTTATGTGCGGTTGTTTTTGCATTTCGGAGGGTTATGGAATCAGTCAGCTACATCTGGCAACACTGCAGGCGGAAGTAGGAGGTTCCCTGAATCGAAAGTATTCGCTGATGGCACGCCTAGGAGGCCATCAACAGATCAAATAACCAGCACATACCATAAACAGGCAAAACTTTTAAGACATTTTTATGCCAATATTAGGCAAGAAATACGTAGGCTATAGAGTAATAAACAGCTTGAGGGACAACAATGACGTCGATTAATTTAATTTTGATATTTAAGAAATATCATAAAAAGGCTATTTTTGAGTGAAAATAACAGCAGACTCACCGGTCCGGACTGATACAACAGAAAGGAGCATCACAGCCGAAAACAAAACGGCCAAAACAGCCATTCTGAAGCCTTTTGAGGCCGCAGCGTGTGTCTGTTTTCACCCTCACTGACGTACAGCAAGCTGTTAAAGAATTTAAACCGTGCTCAGTCTATAAATAAATATAAATATATCTCAGGCATCGGGTGGTAGCAACAGGGGGGTAGGCTACGCCCCCCTTACTTTTAGAAACCATTTAGAAACAGATGATTAGGAATGTAAACTTTTGGATTTCATACAGCTGTCCCAGCCATTTTTAAAGTGTCCACTACGCCATGTCTCTGTGTCTCAGCCTATATTTTGACTAATGCTTATTATATTATTATTCGACTAGTCAGAACGACAATTAGAGATATTTGTACAATATGATTGTACAAGAAATCAGATTCAAGATATTTGCAAATATATTTTGACTAGTCAACTCAATTGAAGATATCTCTAATGATGTTGTAGATTTCTCAAAAAGATGCATCATATACTCGCAAAGATTAGCAATATCTCTAATTCTGTTTTGAGAAAATTATATTTAAAGATATCAGCATTGCATTTGCTGAATTTGGTGTGAAAAACTCCAGTAACTTAAAAATAAGAAAGCTGTAACGTATCATCATGATATGGTATAAAAAATCTATTATCAATGTATCTCCTTTATCACAAGTAGTGCTGGAATCCTCTTTAATCGTACAGTTTTGCTATGTTTGTTTCCATTCACCTTGTGGAGTGGTAGAGTTGCTCCAGATCTGATCTCTTAAAGAGAGATTTGACAGTAATCATTAAGCTTTCTGACTTTTTGGCTTAGTCCTTTTTATTAATTTGGGGTCGCCACAGCGGAATGAACCACCAACTTATCCAGCATTTGTTTTACACAGCGGATGCTCTTCCAGCTGCAACCCACCACTGGGAAACATCCATTCACACTCATTCACACACATATTCATACACTCTGGCCAATTTAGCTTACCCAATTCACCTATACAGTGCATGTCTTTGGATTTGTGGGGGAAACCGGAGCACCTGGAGGAAACTCATGCAAAGACGGGGAGAACATGCAAACTCCACACAGAAATGCCAACTGATCCAGTCGGGACTCAAATCAGCAACCTTCTTGCTGTGAGGTGAAGGTGCTACCCACTGTGCCTCCATGCAGCCCTGGTAAAAATAGTGTTCTAATATTTTGGCCTCACATGAAACAACACTATATAATTTATAGCTAATAATGTAGTATTTCTTGAGCCATACTATAGTAAAGTTGCTATGGTAACATGTATAGGGTGTATTATACTACAATACACCACAGTTTACTGTAGTAAAAACTAAAGTATAAGTACTAAAGTACAGTTTATCAGATCACTGTATTTAAACGAAATTGTTATAAGAGTAATAGGAATACACAATAACAATAATATATACAAAAATATTAATTACAGAGATTTTAATTTAAAATAAAATGCTAAAATTTAAGAAGTAAGATTTGCTAACATTAAACTTTTTAACGATGTGTTAAAATCACCAAAGCTAGCAGCTTACGAAGCATCTAGCTTTCTGTTATGTCTATGCAGTGGACGGCGAGATGTGCAAGTGAAACTTAACCTCTCATCACATCAGAAATGATAGCGTTAGCTGTGCTCAGTGCAGTGAAGGTAAAGTTCTGCTAATGATTGTTATGACCCTTTATGTATTAACTCTGCTCTTTTTATTTTTTGAAGTGTTCTGTGTATTTGTTGTCTTTGCAGGAAGCAGCTACTTGCTCCTTTGCTTCAGTTGATCCTGCCTAGTCAGCTGACTCCTGGCTGCCTATAAATTCTTCCTTTGTCACTTCCTGTTTAGCTGTTTGAGCTCACTTGTGGTTGGTAGCAGTGTGTTGATGATCATAGAAAGAAACTGTGTTTGTTATAGCGATTTATTGAATTGGAGTTTGTGTATGTATCTGAGGAAAATCTGTGACAGTGCGTTAGTTCTTGTTTTGTTGTCCTTAAAAATCTGACCTCTGCCTGTTAACAGACTAATCTGCTGTTTTGCTTTCGTTGGATTTTTTTTCGCTGATTGGAAATATTTTTACTTATTAAATGGGGAATTTGACTCCTTTTTCTTTTGTACTTTCTTTTCTGATTGATTGTTTTGTGGACAAGGGAGTTTGGTAATAAAGTGTATTTTCTTTTATTTCCTTTAGTTGAAAATAGGGAATTTAGAGGGCATTTGAATTTAGTTTGGTTTGTTTATTATTTTCTATTATTTTGACATTATTATAATGTTTTAATTTAATTTTAAATATGTGATTTTTGATTATTATGTCAAGGATTGCTCTTTAAAATATGCTGGTTTTATTATAAACTTTGTTTTATTATTATGTACATTTCACATACATAAATCCAAGTTTGCCAAATGCAAACCTCTCTTCGTGGTGCTAGAAATAGAGATTCAAATATATGTAAAAGTGATTTCTAAATCTAAAAATAGTCATAAAAACAGTTAATATAAGCTAGTCAACATTAATTTAGATAGATCTATAATTACAATTTCTACTATTTAAAACTTATTTTTAGATATCTGCAAATATTTTTTAATAGAAGAATATGACTAGTCACAATAGGGTTGTAGATATCTCTAATGTATAATATGACTAGTCAAAATTGCAATATAGATATCTTCAATGCATATTATGTCTAGTCAAAATTGTAATATAGTAATCTGGAGTTGGATTCATGACTAGTTTAGCAAGGGGTTTTTATTGCTAAAACGGCTTGCCATACTAACGTGTCCTGTCTGATAACTGACCAGTAGCTGACGAATATGCCCAAACATGGCTTTTGGACCAATAACCAATACTAAAACAGATAGCGCAGCATCACTAGTGACTAGGAGAAAGCTTGAGGGTCGTTTTGTTGTTGACACGGATAAGAGGATAGCGGATGCAATGTTAGATTTACACGATTAAATAAACGTTATTAACTGGTTCTGTGGCAGATAGTTGTGCCTCAGGGAGCGCGAAGCTATCAGGTAGCATACTATGAACACACAGCAGCGATTTTCATTTGATTTTTACTTGATTTTGTACAGGGAAGAGGTTTGGGAATAAATCTCTGACGATCAGGAGTCGCTATTTTTGACATGACAAAAGTTAGGGTTTGGCCCTATCAGAATCGCACAGTTGAATAAGATAAACTCTTTGAGAGTTTAAAATAATTTGTCATATGGAGACATTAAAAAAATGGAAAAAAAAAACTTTATTTTATTACAGGACTCAAAGGGTGAATATTCCCGTTTAACCACATTAATAGTATTGCCTACACAAGCTCTTGAACTGAAATGAGACTGTTAACTAAAAGTCATCACTGCAACACAGCAGATAACCCATGTCCTGCTTTAAATAGGCATAAATAAAATAATAAAGCCAGATACTGTATCAAAGGTTATTACGGTTGGAATATAGAACTGACGACAGGTGTAGGCATGTGATTTTATCAGGTTCTAGCATGTAAACAAGTTACCATGAGTCACAAAAAATGTTTAAGTGAAATAAGAGTTTAAGTACTTGCAGTAATATACATATACATGAATGTTAATTAAGTCCTACCTAAAACAGCTTTAACTCTCCCTTAGAAACTCTTGAGTGCTATGCTACATTTAAAAATGAAAACTGAAGTTAAACACAACAGTGAATGAATGCAGTCAACAATAAAAATAATAATCACACTAACCATTTTCCACCCTTTTTTAAACCACTTTTATTGTTAATAAAAAAGAAAGTGCAAAATTCACGAGATGCTCAGTTTTTAACAAAGCCAGAAATATATATTGACTTAAAGTTGGTTTTATATTTACGCATTCGTTCAGTGACAACTTTTGACATGCTCACTATAAATATTGGACTTGAAATCACATGCAAGTATGACTTCAAAACAACATTAGCACTATTCCATTGACTGTGAGCTATCTTGTACTTTGATAGTCATTGGCTGCTAATATCATTTCACCATTTGGAATTTGCAAAGAATACTTTTCTGAAACTATATTATTAAGGAGAAACTCTGAATGTGCCGACATAAAACCAACTTTACCTAAATAAAACATATTAGGACAAATTAGTGTACAGATTAACAGACTTAAACAGAAACAACAGAAATAATATGTACAGTCATAACAGTGAAAACAGTGATATTTATCAGATATTGTAAAGGCACTTTAAATGACAGCAATACAATCAACCACTAACCACATTTAGGAAATAGCTTAATTAAGGCCCCTAAGGAACAGCATGAAAATATCCATATAACACTGATGCATCCTATATCATGAAGAAATATGAGATTACACATTATTTTATGTAAGCTGAGAATTAAATCTAAACTAAGAAACTAAAATAAAACAATCACAACATCATTTTACAATTCAGTGAGAAACTGGTATAAAGGAATGCTTTCCTTTTTTAATGCATTGAGGATCTTTTTATGATACTTTTATCAAAAAGGCTCTGGGTAATTTTTATTGGTGCCCATTTTTAAAACTGGTATTGAAAATTTGTCTACTTTCATCTTTTAGATGTAGGAGTAAGGCAAAAAAGGTAAAAACACACATATATATATATAATGAACAATACCAAATTTTATGAAAAGACATAATGTAAAAATGGGGCACGGTGTAAATCAGCTGTCATTCTGCAAATTTTCTAAGATAATCCAACTTTACAGATCTCCACCAGTAGATTTTCCTTCTGCAGCTGTCGGATTTGGACTCCCTTACTGAAATACAAAACATAAACATTATTTATTTATTATATACTAATAATTGGTACTTATACATAGAACTACAGCTTTAATACACCAACACATTTGAAATCAATATATTTTGGTGGCGTTCCATAAATGAAACGTCACTTATGAACATTGGCAAAATAGCTACCTATACATCATTGAAGTTCTGGACATTTCTGCAAACTGGACACTGACTGAGCTTTCCAAAATATTCCCATCAAACCTGTCCTCTCTCAACCTCTCATTGGTTTCCTATGTCTGCTAGTTTAATAGCGTAGGCCCATAGCATGGCGAACTATCAAGTTTTGTCTGTTAGCATTAAAACACACTATTTGGATAGAATTCGTTGGACAAGGGTGAATGGAGTAAGCAAATTTTACCACAATACCTCTATGATGTTAATAGCCAATTTACACAGATAAAAAAAAATTTTCAGTAAGACTACCAGAAGTGGACTCGATTTGTATACTGCTGTCGCCACCCTGTTGTCCACATACCATTAAAGACCTATACATTTTAATACTTTTTCAAATATTTTCCAAGTGATGTTTAACAGAGCAAGGACATTTTCACAGTATTTCATATATATATATATATATATATATATATATACACATACACACACACACACACACACACACACACACACACACACACACACACACACACACACACACACACACACACACACACACACACACACACACACACACACACACACACACACACACACACACACACACACACACACACACACACACACACATTTTTCCTTTCGGAGATGCTCATTTCACCTTTTTAAAGCACTTTGAGATTTTTTTTTTTATCAAAAATGTACTTAATACAAAATAATGACCCATTATGATTACTAAGATTAAGGCACATTTGTAGAGAGCTAAAATAACTGGGAGCTCTGGTATAATAATTATTTCTCACCTTCTTTATGTAAATGTAAAACTAAAACTTTACGTAAAACTACTAAAACCATCTGAACAAATGTGCCTCTTTTAATACTTTTTTTTAACCTTTCCTCTAGTATCTACAAACAGAAGAGTTCTATACAGTGGACCCTCTGGCTTTACTAATATTGCATGTAAATCATAGTTACCACAATGTCCATTTTTTCCTGTGAGTTAGTAGGACTGCTTTTTGAACTTCCATCACTACTCCCTTGACCTGTTGATGTAAAGTGAAATGTCAAAGTGAGCTGTGCATGTTTTTTTTTAAAACAGTGTGCCAAAACTTTGTCTAGCAAAAGAAATAAAAAAGGAAAGAAAGTGGAATCTTGCAGTACAGCAAGATGCATTTAATAAAGCAATTTGATTTTAGTTCTGTAATAGAAGAAAGCATGTGCCAATCAATAACTGAATAAAAAGAATATTTACCAGAGTCGTCTGAACCAGGTAGCATAGAGCATTTCTCATCCTTGTTTCCTGCAACATGCAGATATTCAAGTCCCACAATCAAGTAATAAAAGTCAATCACGGGTAAATGTTGTATTGCTACTCTTTTCAAGACATTTCACTTATACTGCACTTTGATTTAATATTAATTTTAACTTACAATAATGAAAAAATATAAGTGCATGAAAAAGCAGTCTAATTTTTATCAACTAGTTTTGCAAATTTCTCAATAATAGTGCTAATACTGACTGTGGCTGTAAATAAAGTGCTACCAAAAACAGCTTCAACACCAGTCAACCCTCCTTTTAAGTCCAGTAATGAACAACAAGAGAATATTCTAAGTCTAAGACATGATGCATTTAAACAAGTGATTTGGTGCAATAATAAGCTTGTGCCAATCTATAACTGAATAAAAACTCACCAGAGATAGTTGGTACTGAAGAAGGTTTCACATTGTTATTTCCTGTAAAATGCAGATTTTCAAGTCATGCCATCAAGAAATAAAAGACAATCACAGGTGAATGCTGTACTGCTACTTTCTTAAACACACCCTGAGCATTTCACTTTAGTTGCACTTTGATTGAATATTAATTTTAACTTATAATTGATTGAAAATGTTGAAGTACATGAAAAAACTGTTTTTCTCCACCAGTTTTCACCATTTCTCAAAAGTGATCTAATTTCTCCTAAAACAATGAACCATCAAGACTGATTACATTTTGAGAATAAGATTGAAATCAATAACCAATCAATAAATAATGACATTATCATCATGAAAAAAACTTTTCCCTAAATAAATATTGTAAAAAATTAAAAAACATGAAATTGTTAATGATCATTTATCAGTCTATACGCACCGCTCCTCTTTCTTAGGAAATAAACTGCTCCACCAATGGCTGCCAGCACAACCAAAACTACAATTATTGCTCCAGCAATAATACCTATGGGAGATCCTGACTCAGGGCCATCCAGGCACTCCCCATCTACACAAATACAAAGATATGTATTTACAATTTTAATCAAACTAAAAAAAAAAGAAACAAATAGTTTTGGCAAAAAATGGAGGTTCACAGCTTTTGTGATGCTTTTTGAATATAAGGTGCTTTTTCTGTATGTTTCATTACCCCATTTTTTGATAATTGGTTCCTTGAGGGTTGTGTGGGACACATAACAGTCATATTCTGCTTTTTCATCCTCATAGATGTTAATGCTCTTTCTCAGCTGAAAGGTCCCATCTTCGTTTGGTCTAACTCCTGTGGATTCTACCTCATTATCAGGCAGTGTAATGCGGTATTTCCTTATGTTCAAAATCACATCTTTGGGGTAGAATCCAGTGGCCAGACAAGTAAGTTTTAGCTTGATTTTGCCATTGATAATCCTCTTCGCAAACACATGAACTTCTGGGGAAGCTGAAATCACAAGTACATTGTTTAATCAGTCAGTTCTATAACACTAACCAAATGCTGTATGTTTACTCACAGCCTTCTCTAAGCTCCTTATCTCCATATTCTCTGAATTTGTTGAGCCAGTCCACACACTCTTTTTCCAGGTAGCCCTTGGTGTACTGATTTAGGATGGGCACATTATCCCATTTCCTCTTGGTTGGAAGAGCTTCTTCCACTGGGGCAACCCACTGAGACTCCGCATCATCAAAAGAAAGGAAGTTTCTTCCATCATAGCTGTACTCATCAATGCCTCTGGAAAACCGGACATCATTGCCCTGACTCTCAATTTCACAACCATGTCTCCACTGAAGAACATGAACATCTGAAACAGACACAAATTAAACTGACTATGAGACAGATCAAAAGCAAAAATGATACAGATGTAATATTTTAATGAAAAATAAGATAGGATAGATAAGTTTTACTGTTTTGAGCCTGACTTTATTTGAACCTAAGTACAGCAAAAAAAGTCAAATTGATTAAAAAAAAATCAGATTGTATAATCGATGAATGCATTATTGCATATATTATATATTATGATGACATAAGACACATATACCACAGTTCTGTCATAGCAAATATTTAAATAAATGTTAAAAAAAAAAAAGTTTTTTTTTTAAAATCTATTTTATACCTGTGATTTCAAAGCTGAATGTTCAGCATATTTCTAATTTGTTGATTTTCCACACAGACATGTATTATTATTATTATTATTTTATTATTATTATTATTATGTTGAAATCAGATGAACAATTTATTTCAGCTTTCTTTAATGAACATTAAATTCAGAAGAACAGCATAAGATAATAAGATGATAATAATAATAATAAACATTTCTTAAACAAAACATTTGCATATTAGAATTTTGAAGGATAATATAAGTGAAGTTCTGATTTCTAAATGTAATAATTTTTGAAGTTCGGAATTTATTACCTTTTTAAATATATTCAAATAATTGTTATCTTATTTATTATTACTATTTCATTAATTTTCTTTTTGGCTTAGTCCCTTTGTTAATTTTATTATCAACTTATACAGCATATATTTTAAGCAGCGGAGGAGATGTCCTTCCAGCTGCAGCCCATCACTGGGAAAATTTATTATTATTATTATTTTTATCTTTTATCTAAAAATACATATATTTTTTAATTTTTTAGATACTTTTCTGTACTTTCCATTAAATAAATGCAGGCTTGGTGAATAGAACAGACAGTTTTAGAAAGCATTAAAAATATTTTTTATAGAACAGCTTTTGACCAGTAGTGTATATGCAGGGTAAAACAGATAACCATTCCTCACCTGATTTATTGTGTCTCATTCGTTCCATCAGAATGTTGACGTTCACATTAAACCACTGTTCTTTGCTCTTTCTGGACTGGGTGCCTTTTTCCCAGTAATCTTCCTGCATTTTCTCTTTCATCCAGTGCTGTTTGGGAATCTTCTTCTGCTGTTCGCTATTGTAATAGTCAATCTGTCTGTCATCTAGCAAACCCATTGCAGTGAATTCATAGATGCCCGGCAGATTGACAGGTCTGGATAAAGCTGTGTATATGTAGTAGAGGGAGTGTTTTTCTGTATTCAAAGAGAACAAAACATGAAAATGTCAAAAACACATGATCCACATGGTCATTTTTAAGTATACATTATGAAAATAGTTTCATGGTGAAGTGGTGACATCTGACCATCACAAACAAATCTGGTTAGATTGTTTTAAGATGTTTTTGTCCTTTTCTTTCAACCTATAGACCAACTATTGCAACATCTGTAGCAGTTAATCATTGCTCTTATATTTGGCACAGCTGAGGTCAGTTTAGTCTATGATGCTGCCTTTCACATTTTTATTAAACACAAATATTATTGAAGTTTAGTGAATATCACTTGAAATCTTGTTGATTGTTGATATTTGGAACAACACTAATTTATGTGGTTCATACACATTTCCAGAGATTCTATGGAGATTCTTCTACTTAAAAAAAAAACGTTTAAATTTTTTTTAATAATTTTTAAAAACATTTTATTTAAACTAGACCCTTTTCCCTAAGATCATATATTTACATAAAAATATTACATTATGTTTCCTTTTATATGAATAGAATTATAGCCCTTTTTTATTAACAAGTCATTCTACAATAAACTGTGCTCTATAAAACAGCGTTTTGATATAATTACATTATTATTTTATAGCATTTAATTGTCAAGCAATGGTTTCAAGTTTAGTACGTTAGAGCAAGCACAACATAACCTAAAATGGCGGAACCAGGAAGTTTCCTCCTAAACCGAAAGTATTCACTGACAAGCCAGGGAGGCCATAAACACAAACACAGACCGTAACTTACACAGACATATTAAACATTTAAGCCGTTTTTGTATACATATCAGCCTATGAAATACGTATATATAGTAATAAGCAGCTTGAGGAACGATAATGACGTCGATTAGTTTACTTTCGGTTTTAAGAAATATCCTACATAGGCCACTTATTGAGTAGCTATTTTTAAGTCAAAATAGCAGGCGACTCACCGGTCCAGGCTGGTACAACCGCAACAAGCATCACTGCCGAAAACAAAACGGCAAAACTACCCATTCTGAAGCCTTTTGAGGCCGCGGTGTGTGTCTGTTTCCTCCTCCACTAACGTCTTCTCTCTGATAGCTGACGAACAGGTTAAACTGTTATGAGACGGTCTAAAATTCAAAGCCACGCCCCCCGAAGAGCGTAAATAACCAATACTGAAACAGAAGCGCAGCATCACTAGTGACTAGGAGAAAGCTGGTGTTTGAGTTTCTTTCTTGTTGACAAGGATAAGAAGACAGAGGATGCAAAACTAACGTTAGATTTACACGATTAAATAAACTTTATTGACTGGTTCTGTGGCAGATAGTTGTGCCTCAGGGAGCGCGGACCTATCAGGTTAGCATATATGAACACACAGCAGCGATATTCATCCGATTTTCCTTGATTTTGTACAGTGAAGAGGTTTGGGCATAGGACATAGCCCTTGGCTATCAGTCAGATGCTACTTTTGGCATGTCAGAAATTTGGGTTTGGCCCTACCTCGGAATCGCACAGTTAAATAAGATCAGCTTTATCAGTGTTTAAAAGAATTTGTCATATGAAGACATTAAAAGAGTTGAAAAGTCAAAACGCAAAAGATATTTATTTTATTGGAGGATTTTGGCTTCATTTTCTGAAAACTTCAAATACTTTGTCTTTATTTTTTTAAATTATATGTTTTTATGTACTTATTTGTTTAATTAATTTAGTTTTTCATTCATTTTCTGTCTGGTTTAGTCCCTTTATTAATCTGGGGTCGCCACAGCGAAATGAACCGCCAACTTATCCAGCAAATGTTTTACACAGCAAAAAAAAAAAAAAAAAAACAATGTGAATGTAAATTAAATGTAATCTCATTGTAATCCTAATCATAAAATCAGGTGTTTATTTTTAGATCTTGTCATCTCAAATCATTCTTCTATTTCTTTTTGGAACAACCTTTTGATGATATTAAATGGTTGTATGTTTGGTAACTCCCAAGACTTTTTTAAACAAATAAAATTTAAGAAATATCTTTTTAAATGATTTACATATTTTATCCAGTTAAACAATTTCTACAGAAATTAAAAAATTACATTGATGTCTCTTGCTCTTTCCTTGAGACTTCTTCTCTGTTGTCTGAGTCTGTTGCTCATTTATTTTAGGAATGTCCCTTGGTTAAACCTTTCTGGTCTGATGTGAATTGTCCTAAAGGTTTGTATGGATTTTTCTTTAAGATAGACATATTATTTTTGGGGTTTTACATTAAAGAAAAACAATTCCTTAATTCCAGCGGTGGAAAGAAAACTGAAAATTTATACTCAAGTTAAAGTATCATTACTTGCCTAAAAATGTAGTGCAAGTAGAGTAAAAGTATCTGTTGTAAATATTACTCAAAGTAATAGACCTTTCAAATGTCAAGAGTAGTGAGTAGGGAGTATTACGCTGTAAAAAGCTAATGCATGTAACTTGTGGATGTGTGTAAACGGAACATTCTGTAGTGCATTAAGTGATTGCCCAGCAGGCACACAACATCATTAAAACGTTATAAGGTTAGATTTAGGTTGTGATGTCAAGTGACTAAAGTTCCAAAACTCAACGTCACATTGACGTCATATACTGGCATTTATTTGTCAGGTATGGCAACCAAAAACGTCTGATAGACATCATAGTGGTAACGTCCACACAGTGTCAAATTGTAACATCATTAGGTTGATATTTGGTTGATTTCAGGTTGGACGTTGGACATTGACGTCGGCCTGACGCTGGGTTCTGATGTCATCCTGATTTTCATTTCCAAACATAATGCCATGTCCCCACGACGTTGAGGTGCAACATAATCTGACATTAATTTGACATCTTGTGTCTGCTGGGTGTTTAAGGCCATTTCGGTCATCGTACAGTAAACACCCGTCATCTTCTCATCAGTGACATGCATCTAAACAGTTTATGGTTCAATGTGTGTACATTTTTTCTTGGACACTTTTAATGCCTCCAAACAGTTTGCTGCAAGTATAAATCGGCCATGTCTTGAGGTAGTTCATTATGATTTATCTTCTATGTACGATTTGATTGGACAGTAATCACAGGGCTGATTGTTCTAATCCCCATAGACAAAATAAATGAAGTAGTGACTGCAGGTTGAAGGAAAGTAGTGGAGTAAAAGTACCGAAACATCTTTAAAAATGTACTCAACGGAAAGTAAAATTACACACTTTAAAACTAGTAAATTAATTTCTGAGAAAAACTACTCAATTACAGTAGTTTGAGTATTTGTAATTTGTTACTTTACACCACTGATTCATTTAAGTTTTTGTGTTAACCTCATATTATTTATAAGAAAGGTTTTTATACATAAGTGTATATATAACCAATATAAACCAAATTTAGATTTTTTTTAATCGACATTTGGACCTGTACTTAAAAACCATTACAGAGTCTCATAACAAGAAAGCAGTTAAAACTTGTAAAAACACATACTTTATTTAGCCCAATATTCTGCATTAATTTTTATTATTTTTTCCTCTCTTAATTTTTGTTTATTTATTATCATTTTTATTGTTTTTTTCTTCTTATTGTCTTTCTTTTTCTTTTAAAAAAGTAATATCTGTATTGTTTGTACTATACTTCTGTACTTCTATCTTTTGTAATTGCCTGTTGTTATTGCAATTAAAATGAAAACGTGCTCGAGCCATCCATGGTGCCTGAAATAATAAGAACATCTTGTATAAAAACAAAACTCTTTTTTTCAATAACTGGTTTAAAATGATATTTATTTTTTTGTGTGTCAACTTTTCAATGATAGTGATTTACTTTGTAACTTCTCAGAATTTTTAGTCCAGGAATTCCTGTTAGCCCAAAAGTCATTGCTATTGTGGCTGATGCAATCCCACAAGGTGTTTTTATGTTTTTAAAGGACTTTTATTTCCAATTCTTTGTGATTCAGTAAAGATTTGGGAAATATTTATGGGTAAACAGTGCCTTTCATTATCTAAATCAAAATGCAATAAGAAAACAAGAGCCCTGTTTTAGGAAGATTCACTGTGCCTTATATGTAATGTCATATTGGAATGGTTTTGTAAATGATATTTAATAGAAGAAAGCTATAACAAACAAAACAAGAAAAGTTACCTTTAAACTGATTCATATAGATGCTATCCAGACAAGTGTAACCCTAAAAGGCTTAAGAATGACATTAACACCAACTGTTCATTTTGCTCTGTGAATCCTGAAACTTCTGTTCATTTATTTCGGAATTGCCCTCATTCAATAACATTTTGGTGTGATGTTCTTGATTTTACAAAAGATTATGTTAAGGAATTTGAATTTACATATAAGAATGTTATCTTTGTTTTCCATGAATGTGAAAAGGAAAGTAATAATTATTTCATAAACCTTATTATTTTGGTTGACCAAATGTATTTTGAGTCTATTGAGGGAAAAACTTTGATGAAGGACTAGGCACTTGTCTTGGACCAAATGACTGAAAACCCCTGGATTGTTGTTGTTTGATTGATGACATTGGTTGTTAATGTTTTTCAAGCATTCAATAAAAAATAAAAATAAAAAATACAGTCTATGGTGGGTGCCATCACTGCACCTGTGCGAAAACAGAAACAAACTTCCGGGTTCAGAGCGTGCGATAATTAAATATTCCAGAATACACACGAACAAGCAATAGTGTGTAATATTCTATTCAAGTATGTTGGAGCAGATCTGATTCAAAGGTTAAATTACATAATATTTTTTTCTTTCATTTCATGAGACGATCAGCTTAATAGTGCAATAAATAAAATGTGTATTATTGTTTATCCTCAGCTGTTTTTAATGGAGAGCACATTTACTGCTCTTCTAGTTATGAAATACACACTAGATGTGTCTGAAATGACAGCAAACGTATAGAAATTAAAATTAAAATAATCATAAATGTTCTTATGAAAAGACTCGATGCACGTGATATCAACCTTACGTAAGCATATCTCTCGCGCGTGCGCAGTAAGCAGCGACAAACCAAAACTGTCATCCAACTTGACAACCACGGAGTAAAACAGGTACATATTTTATAATCATGCATACTTTTTTCTGCGTTCAAATATGTGTATTAAGTAGGCCAACATTTCTGTTTTTTCTCTACACGATACTGCTTTCACGGCACGAACATTTCCAGCAATGAGTCAGTGCAAAGTAGCTCTGGTCACTGGTGCAAATAAAGGCATCGGCTTCGCGATCGTGCGTGCACTGTGTAAAGAGTACACCGGGGACGTGTATCTGTCATCCCGGGATGTCGGACGAGGAACCGCAGCGGTGGACAGCTTGAAGAAGGAGGGACTGCACCCGCTTTTCCATCAGCTGGACATCAACGACCCAAACAGTGTCCGAACTGCACGCGACTTCTTCCAGGAGAAGTACGGGGGCCTGGACGTGCTCATCAACAATGCTGGAATCGCCTTTAAAAGTAAATTAATTAATTTACAGTTCACCCAGGAATGAAAATATGCTTACCCTTATACTTGTTTAAAACCATTACTAGTTTATTTCTTCTGTTAAACACAAAAGAAGATGTTTTGAAGAAAGCTGAAAATCTGTAACCATTGACTTCAATAGAACTTGTTTTTCCTATATGGAAGTCAATGGTTACTGGTTTTCATCTTTTTTTTGGAGGTGTTTTATTATAGGGTATTTTTGAAACAAACATTTCTTTCTATTGTTAAACACAAAATAAAACCTTTTAAAGAAAACTGAAAACCTGTAACCATTGACTTCCATAGTATTTGTTTTTCTACTATGGAAGTCAATGGTTACAAGTTTTCAGCTTTCTTCTGGGGATGTTTGTTATAGGACATGTTTGAAACAAGTATTTTGTCTGTTAAACATAAATACACTGTTAAACATAAATACAAGATATTATGAAAAAAGTTGAAGCACTAACCATTGACTTTCATATAAAAATCTAATATAATGGAAGTCAGTAGTTACAGGTTTTCAGTTTTCGTCAGGGGTGATTTATTATAGGGTTTGTTTGAATCAAGTATTTCTTCTTTTAACCACAAAAGATATTATGAAAAAAAGGTGAAAAAGCTGTAACCATTGACTTCCATAGTAGTAAAAACAAATACTTTGGAAGCCAGTAGTTACAGGTTTCTGCTTTCTTCGGGGGGTGTTTTATCATAGGGTATGTTTGAAACAAGTATTTCTTTTTTTTCTGTTAAACACAAAAGAAGATATTTTAAGGAAAGCTGAAAACCTGTAACCACTGACTTCCATATTATTTGTTTTCCTACTATGGGAGTCAATGGTTACAGGATTTCAGTTTTCTTCAGGGGAGGTTTATTACATGATATGTTTTAAACGAGTAGTTCTTTCCTCTGTTAAGCATAAAAAGAAAATATTTTGAAGAAAGCTTAAAACCTGTAACCATTGACTTCCATATTATTTGTTTTTCCTACTATGGGAGTCAATGGTTACAGGTTTTCAAATTTCTTTTAGTGTTTTTTTATTATGAGGTATGTTTTGAAACAAGAATTTCTGTCTTCTGTTGAACACAAAAGAAGATGTTTTGAAGAGAGTTAAAAACCTGTAACCATTGACTTCCATAGTATGAAAAACAAATACTATGAAAGTCAATGGTTACAGCTTTTCAGCTTTCTTTAGTGTTTTTTTATTATATGGTACCATTTTCTTACGTAGTATTTGTATTTGTTTTCCTACTACAAAAGTAAATGGTTACAGGTTTTCAGTTTTCGTCGTGGGTGTTTTATTATAAGGTATTTTTTAAACAAATATTTCTTTCCTCTCTTAAACACAGAAGATATTTTGAAGAAAGGTGAAAACCTGCAACCAAAAACAAATACTTTGAAAGTCAATGGTTACATGTTTTTATTTTAACCATTTTCAACAAGATATAAAGATTTGTAATCACACAAGTAAATAGTGAGTGAATAATATTTGGGGGAGGGGGGATCTATCCCTTTAACATCGCTTTAAGGGAAATGAAATGAAAATAAACACTTTTTCATGACATTTATTCAATATTTACAGACTCATGCATCACACAAGTTTACCCCCCCAAAAAAAAGTAAACACTTTTTACTTGCCTTCAAGTGATTACAAGCCTTGCGTAAGTTTTTTTTATTCTGTTAAACACAAAAGAAGATATTTTGAAGAAGGATTAAAACATGTAACTATTGACTTTTATAATAGGAAAAGATTAATACAATGGAAGTCAATGGTTACACGTTTTTTGCTTTCTTTAGTATATCCTGCTTTGTTTTCAACAGAGCAAAGAAACTCAAACAGGTTTGTAAACAAACAAGTTACGAATGAGTAAATTATGACATCATTTTCAGTTTTAGTTGAACTGTCCCTTTAAGTTTCATACTTTTGACCTGAAGTTTTCTACCATTTCGAAGGAAGTAAAAACAAACAAAAGTTTAATCAAAGTTTAAAATGCTGTCTTCTGCCATTTGACTAATAAAAACAATGTTTGATTTCTTCATGGCAGTGGCCGACACAACCCCCTTTGGGACCCAAGCTGATGTGACACTGAAGACCAATTTCTTTGCCACCAGAGACATGTGTAATGTGTTTTTACCCATTATCAAACCAGGAGGTAGGTCATACCAGTCATACCTCCCAGAACCTGCTAGTCTGGGGATTTATCTTCTCGCATTTCTTCCTTTTAACATTCCTTACTTTTCTTTCTTGAACTCAAAACACTGTCAACATTTTCTCCCCCTTCACTTGTCACAATTTTTATGAGTTTCTTAATTCTGTTAAACTTGACAAAAAAACTAATTGAAAACCTGTAACCATTGACTTCATAGTATTTGTTTTTCCTACTATGGGTGTCAATGGTTACCAGTTTCTGACATTTTTCAAAAATATTTTCTTCAGGAAAAAGAAACACATGAGGGTCAGTAAATACTGAATAAGATTAAATTTTTTTGGTGAACTGTCTTTTTAAAGTTCCCGTGAAGTGCTTTGAAATGTGCATTTGTTATTGGATGTTTTATATAACATAGGGTAGTCAATCAATCAATCAATCAATCAATCAAGCCTTTATTTGTCACTACACTTTCGTATAGCGAAATTGGACCCCCCAGACCATAGACAAAACATCACAAACAACTTTTCAGGGGAGACAGATCTTAGGAGGTAGCATTTAGAAACGAAGAAAGATACATTTGGACAGTTAGGCTAAAAAACACCCCCTCAGCTTGCCCTTGATTAGGACAAAGTGAGAAAAGGGAGAAAAACAGCCCTATCTTAGCATAAGCACACCGGCAAGACACAACATAGACAGAAGGGATGGGAACAGGGGTAATGGAAAACAATCCGTTGAGTGCGGGCAGCCAACTGGCCCAGCAGCCATTTCCGGCGCAAGTCACAGCCCCGCCCACGCCCCACGTGGGTAAAAGCACACGAAGGCGTTTGGATGGGGATCGGTGGTGAATGTTTATCTGTAGATATGTTTGTGTGTGTGTGAGCCTACATAGTCCAGAGTCCCGCAGGTGTCCTTGACAGGGGCAGGAATTCAGAGCGTCCGCTTATCTTGCTTATCCCAGGGAGTAGTCCCTCCCTTTTTTAAAAAATCTGCCAATAGCAGTTTGTTTTATAACAGGTCTGCCAGTGAGGGTGGTTGAGCTCAAGCGCATCTAATGAAAAGCAAATGAGAAACTTCTTAAAGGGGGTGGGGCATATCAGATGCTAGAGAGCATCTGATTGGTCAAGATTGGATAAGAAACTAAAGTATAAAGTGACGTGAAAAAAACATTGCTCATATAGGCGGAAGAGAAAAAGCTTTACATGTTTATATCAGTTTTATATCTTGTATACACACATTTTGTCATTGTTTTGTTGCACACTAGCTTTTAGATATCCTTAAAACTAACATACTGAATACTAACATCTTAAAAAACTTTATTTTTATTTCACTCAATTTGTAAACACTTTTATTTTTTTCTTCTAGGTCGATTAGTAAATGTTTCCAGCGGAATGGGCTCAATGGCACTAGGCCGCTGCAGTCCAGAACTCCAGGCCCGATTCCGAAGCGACGATATCACAGAGGAAGAGTTAAACGGACTGATGGAGCGATTCGTCCGTGAGGCTCAGGAAGGCGTTCATTCGGAACGAGGATGGCCCTCAACTGCATATGGCATCTCCAAAACTGGCCTCACCACCCTGACTCGAATTCAGGCCCGAAATCTGACCAAAGAAAGGCCTGGGGATGGGATCCTGTGCAACGCCTGCTGTCCAGGATGGGTCAGGACTGACATGGCTGGACCAAATGCCACCAAATCACCAGATGAGGGCGCCATCACTCCAGTGTATTTGGCGTTGCTTCCTGCAGGAGCAAAAGAGCCTCATGGCCAGTTTGTTTCAGAGATGAAAGTGCAGCCTTGGTAAAGGAGGTTTGTATATGTTACAATCTGGGGTCAAGTTGAGAAACATCCAAATTAACTTCTCTGGTGTCAGAAAGTCCAACTCAGACTGATTCTTAAGGGGATAGTTCACACAAAACTGAAAATTCTCATAATTTACTCATCATTCACTTCTTCCAAACTAGCTTTACTTACTGTCATGCTGTTAGTGGTTTCTGGTTTTCGGCATTCTTCAAAATATCTTTTTTTGTGGTCAACAGAATAGAGATACTGAGGTTTGAAACCAGTCGGAGGAGAGTAAATTGTGATTAAATGTTCATTTTTGAGTGAACTGTCCCTTTAAGGTGCTCTAAAATAAGGTACTAAGTGCATTGTGGGTTTAATTGTAAATCTAACACAAAAAGCTTTACGATTTGGTCAAAGATTTGATGAATAGACAAATCGAGTGAATCAAGTCTGCTATTTAAAGGCATAGTTCACGCAAAACTGAAAATTATTTCATCATTTACTCACCATTCGCTTGTTTCAAACTAGCTTCACTTATGCTGTCAGTGGTTACTGGTTTTCAGCATTCTTCAAAATATCCTCTTTTGTGTTCAACAGAATAAAGAAACTCGGGTTTGAAACCAGTCGGAAGAGAGTAAATAGTGAGTGATTGCTCATTTTTGGGTGAACTGTCCCTTTAAGGTTCTCTAGAAATAAGCTACTAAGTGCATTATGAGATTAATTGTCAATATAACACCAAAAGCTTTACAGTTTGGTCAAAGATTTGATGAATAGACAAATTGAGTGTTTCAAGTATGCTTTATAAAGGGATAGTTCACACAAAACTGAACATTATTTGATTGTTTACTCACCATTTGCTTGTTCCAAACTAACTTTACTTACTTTCAAGCTGTCAGTGGTTACCGGTTTTCAGCATTCTTCAAAATATCTTCTTTTGTGTTACAACAGAATAAAGAAACTCGGGTTTGAAATTACTTGTAGGAGAATAAATAGTGAGTAAATGTTCAGTTTTGTGTGAACTGTCCCTTTAAGCTGCTCTAGAAATAAGTTACTAAGTGCATCATGCGATTAATTGTAAATATAACACCAAAAGCTTTACTATTTGGTTAAATCTTTGATGAAAAGGCAAATTGAGTGTATCAAGTATGCTTTATAAAGGGATAGTTCACACAAAACTGAAAATTCTCATTTTAATTCACCATTCACTTGTTCCAAACTAGCTTTACTTAATTTCATGTTGTCAGTGGTTACCGGCTTTCAGCATTCTTCAAAACATCTTCTTTTGTGTTCAACAGAATAAAGAAACTCTGTTTTGGAATCAATCAATGGAGAGTAAATAGTGAGAAAATGTTCATTTTTGAGTGAACTGTCCCTTTAAAGTGCTCTAGAAATAAGTTACTAAGTGCATTATGCGATTTAACTAAATATAACACCAAAAGCTTTACAGTTTGGTCAAAGATTTGATGAATAGGCGAATTTCCTGTTAAATTGCTTACTCTAAGGCAATGGTCTCAAACTCAATTCATGGAGGGCTGGAGCTCTGCATAGTTTAGCTCCAACATATCCAACTCACACCTGCTTAATACTCTAGTAGTCTTGAACACCTTGATTAATTTGATTAACTAGGTTTGAGTTTGGAGCAAAATTGTGCAGAGCTGCGGCCCTTCAGGAATTGAGTTTGAGACCTATACTCTAAAGGCATCTGAAGGATGTTGGAGACCTTTTTTCTTTAGTAAAACTATATTAGGCATGGTGGTTATAAAATGCAAATAAGCAGTTCTTTGAGATTTGAAAAAACAAATACAGGCAAAACAAAATGACTACATGTGCCCCCTGACTATAGGCCATATTAAGGGATGTAAACAATAACACGGGTCCTAATTCCTGTTTTAGATTTTTAATTTTCTTGACTTATAAGGATCCAGAAAGCTCCACATATTGATTTTTTTATGACAGCCTCTTTAACCTTGTTTATGACTGAATCACATGTTGGTACAGTTCCTAATTAGTTTGACGACAGGCAGGAACTGCATGGAACAATGATATTGCCATATTGAAATGGTCCATTTATTGTCATCCTAACTTTCATACATCCTATCATGTATGCATTACTCATGTTTTTTTTCTGTATCTATTTTTTGACTCTCAATTTTTATGAATCATCAAGGATCACAATTTCAGATATTTAAAAAAATGCCCTTAGTGTAAATAAATTATTAGCGAATTTTATTTTTGTGTGTACTGTCCCTTTAAAATAAATGACTGCAACCATATAAATGCACTATGTGGAAAGTTTTGTCAATTTTCACAGACCAAAATGTTGTGCTTAAAGATCCATTTTGCGCAAAAAAAGTTACATTGAAGTAGACGTTTACAATGCAAATACAAACATTAACTACAATACACTGCGAAAAGAGATTAGTTGACTTTACTTTGGAACAGTGTTTCTCAACCACGTTCCTGGAGGACCACCAACACTGCATGTTTTGGGCGTCTCCGTTGTCTGTCACACCCATTGCAGGTCGTTCAGTCTCTGCTAATGAGCTAATGATATAAATAAGGTGTGTCTGGTTTAGGAGACATGGAAAGTGTGGTCGTCCAGGAACATGGTTGAGAAACACTGCTTTAAAACAAGTTTAAACATGTTAGTTTTAAAGCAGTTTGTTGACATAAATTGAGTAAACCCATTGTCTTAATATTTATTAAATTAACTGTGTAAAATGATAAAAGTTAAGTCAACTTAACAGTTCCAAGTTACAACAGATCTACTCACTTTAAGTAAAGCAACTGAACACTTTTCACAGTGTAATTACTTCTAAATTAGATCATTTTTACTCTGTGTATTGTGACAGCACTCTTGTAATGTTCAAATGTATCAATGTTGTACTTCTACATAATATTGTTGATGATTTGTTTAATCTGAAAATAAAAATGAATTGCAGCTGTACTCTCCTCCCTTCCTCATTTGTCTCAGAAGTTTGACAGCAAGTTCCATCCATTAAAGGTTCAGAAATACAAGTTTTGTGTCATTCAGCTTTTATTGCAGCTCAGATGAACTATGCAATGGACCAGAGTGAAACTAAAAAGGAAAAAGATTACAATTCTCAGTAATAACTAAAACACATCAAATAAACAGATTATAATACACCACAAGGATGGTGTTCATTTGACACACATTTGTATTTTGCTTTAGATTTCTATGCATTCTATACATTTTGTGACTAGCATTAAAAGTCTTAAGATACGAGCTATGTATACAAAAAAAAACAAAAAAAAAAACATCTGATCTACACATTAATGTCAGAAATATACACATCCAAATTGAATGAATCAAACTTGCAGCTGTTGCTCTTTAAACTCTTTACAGCAAGGATTTGGGGATTACCCACATCTGGCAGTCACACACTTTCATGCGGTTTTATTCCAAATGATATTTTTACAAAAATTGGAGGTCTTCCTTTTATATTAAAATGTAATTATCTATCTAAAAAATTGCTAATTGTCAAATATTCACCAGCAGGTTCTTCTTTACTGGAAATTGTGCTGTTCACACAATTTCTCGCCACATTAATGCATTTTAGAAACAACTCTGATATTAGATTAGAAAAAAATCTATTTTTCTATTCAAATGGTTTAACAGAAATATAATTGGGATTCTCTCGATTTTTGATAAGTCTGGCAACCTATGAACAATTTATGACTAATAATAATTTTCTGTTACCTTTTAAAGAATTCAATGCGGTGCAAAAAGCAATTCCTTTAGGCCTAATTCAACTTATAAAATACTATTATTTTTATTATTATAATTTTTTTTAATCAAAATGTTATTAAAGAACCAGAGCTGAACTTAAGTGCAATTAGTTTATTCGGAAAAAAAAAATTAATAAATATATTTGACAAATTTTCCAAAATAAAAAAAGTATAATGTAAGGGCAAATTTTACTGGGCATCCTTCATTGACCTAATAAACTGAAAAAAGCCGGACTATAACCTTATAAGTACTGCATTCCCAATAGAACAAAATAGGTTCATTTTTAAATTCTTCATAAAATATATCCAGTGAATACTTTGGCAAAGTATATGGAGGTTCAAAATTAAAGCTCATTTTGTAAACCTGAATATGAAACCCTGATTTACATATTTCTTCAGTGTAAAAACACAAAAAGCTTTTGGAATAGCTTAAATCTCCATAATTACACTGCTTCTTCCAGACCTTTTAAACTACAAGATATTATTTGTTACTATAAAGATATAACTGATACATCAGAGAACTACATTACTAACTTTTTTATTTTATATGGAAAATATTTTATTCACAATCAAAAATTCTCGAATTCTCAGCCTTCTTTTTCACATTTTTTATTGAAATTGATGTTTTTATTAAATCCCTTAGACCAGGGGTTTTCAAAGTGTGAGGCGCGCCTCCCCTGGGGGGCGCCAGAGCATGTCAGGGGAGGCGCGGGAAATAAATATAATATAATAAAAATATAATTATTAAGTTTAATTATTATATGTATTTTTTATTATATTTAAACGTTTTAATTAAACAAAGAAAAAAATAATACGTCAAATATAAGAAAACCTTTTTTACCCAGAAGGCCATAGCTGTGAATTCGCTTCTGTGAATACAGGTATATGCCTGCTAATACAATGGGTCGGTTTCTGAGACCCACCCCGATTCAAAGCTGTAATGAAGCTCACGGCCCTTTGGCCGCCGGGAAGGAGGCGGAGAACCGAAGCAGTTTTAAAGTGATTTATTAATGACAGTGACGGCAGCTCCGTCTAAACCAAAACAAACGGACGGCAGATCCTCACGGAGACTGCCGTCAAACTGAAAGCAAAAGTAAAATATGTCCGGGTCCGGTCCTCCCTCGGCTTCCTCTGCCCTTGTTCCTCCTTTTATGATCCAGAGCTCCTTCCGTGGGATCTGAGGCAGGTGCGCACCGCAAGTGTATCCACTTACGCGGTGGCCTCACTCCGTTCCCACGGCGCTCGGCCACGCCCCCTAGCCACAAAAGCTTTCAAGTTCAGGGCTTAAACCCAAAAGACGACGATATGATGATCAGTATTTGAGTTTATGATTTATGTGGACAGGACCAGCTGATGAACCACAACCTTTATGTGTGGTTTGTCAAAATATTTTGGCTAATGACAGCATTAGACCCACTAAACTTCCACTATTTTGACTGGGATGGACAGTTCTTGGAACTGTTCTATTCATATTGAACCATCATCCTAGTTTTAAAAACGTTATATTAAAATACTTGTTATTACTCTGTAAATAATTGCACTTTCATGCAAATGATGATAAAAGTGAGTTAACAGTCTGACATCTGTCTGTGTCTTTATGTATATATATATATATATATATGTGTGTGTGTGTGTGTGTGTGTGTGTGTGTGTGTGTGTGTGTGTGTGTGTGTGTGTGTGTGTGCGTGCGTGCGTGTTTGGGAGGAGGGGGGCGCCAATGGATATGTTGTGTCAAAAGGGAGGCTCACTGTCTTAGACTTTGAAAAACCCTGCCTTAGACTGATTAAAAACAAGAAAAGTGATAGATTCTTAACTTATTATAATTATTTTGAAAATATCATGGACACATATGTCCTTCTTTTCTCTTGCTGTACTTGTGGTATTTATGTATTTGTTTAATTTGTTTCTCTCTGTCTCTCTCTCTGTTTTTTTTTTTTTTTTTTTTTACAGTTTTATAAGTGTTTATAATAAAATTTAACCTAAACTGTTAAGTTATTATCGTTGTTACTATCATTGCCCTTTTTGAGTAAGATGGAAATTTGTATGGTTGTTATTGAAGTACATAAAAAAAAACACTTGCCATGCGGTCAACTGCACACTTCCTGAATGTTTCATAATTTGCAGTTTCTTAAAGAGACCACTAGATGACAGTACCGCAACAAATTCACTAAAGCACTTTTAAAAAGAAACGCATTTTTACTTTTGGCTAAATGTTCACTGTCCTTTTATTGCAGGGTTTTTGCTTTTGAAATTTATATTTTAAAAAACTTAAACTAGAATTTTTATGTAATCTCCAAACTGTTTGCTGTATTAATTGAATATGTTTTAAACATACACACACTTTACTTTTCTGTTTCATTGATTGTATTTATTAAGCAATACAATCATTGTGAGTCAGTTTGCAATAGCAATACTCCACTATTTAGAGTAAGGCCCAAATTTATTCTGCTTATGCCCCCCAAATGTACAGGGCCGGCCCTGCTTCATGGCCACAGATGTTAAGGCAACAGGTCTGCAGTCTGAGTCCCGTGATCTTTGGCTTCTTCAGGGTTGGGATGATGGTGGAGCATTTAGAGCAGGATGGAACTTTGCGCTGTTCCAGTGATCTGTTGAAGATCTGTGAGAAAATGGGAGCCAGCTGGTCTGCGCAGGTTGGGCCTGTTGCTTTCCTTCTCCTCTGTTTCCTGAAGATCTGACGCACGTTTTCCTTACTGATCTGAAGTGCAGTGGGGAGAGGGAGATGGCTGGAGGTGTTGATGGCTGTGTAGGGAGATGGTCAGGGTGGGTGTGGGGTGTCTGGTCAGAGGTATACAGTAGAACATATTCAGCTCGTTTGCAAGATGATTATCGCTGTTGATGCGGGGGGTTAGTGTTTTGTTGCTAGTGTTGGGATGGTGTCTTGTATTTCCCAGAGATGGGTTGTGGCTGGATGGATCCGGTGCGTAAAAATGAGCTGGATAAGTTGGCGGTTCATTCCGCTGTGGCGACCCCAGATTAATAAAGGGTCTAAGCCGACAAGAAAATGAATGAATGAATGAATGAATGGTGTCTTGTCCTTGTTTCCTTGCTCCTACAAACCTGAAACCGATCAACCTCCGCCATCTTGTAGGACATCTGCAGGGGGTCCAGCAAAGGTCCAGTGATGTCCTTCAGATAAGCTAGCAACTTAACACCGTCAGGGCCTGGTGCTTTTCTTCTCCTCTGTTTCCTGAAGATCTCACACACATTATCCTAACTGATCTGAAGTGCAGTGGGGAGAGGGAGATGATGGTGTTGATGGCTGTGTAGGGAGATGGTCCGGGTGGGTGTGGGGTGTCTGGTCAGAGGTGTCAAATCTACAATAGAACATATTCAGCTCGTTTGCAAGATGATTATTGCTGTTGATGCTGGGGGATGGTGTCTTGTTGTTAGTTTTAGGATGGTGTCTTGTAGTCCTTGTTTTCTTGCTCCTACAAACCGGAAACCAATCAACCTCTGCCATCTTGTAGGACAGCTCAATTCTTTAATTGCACTACAAGGAGAGAGGAGACTTCCTGAGGAGACTTTTCTTTTTAAAGAATGTTTATTATATTTTTATTGAACAATGACAACACATTCAAATTCAAAGTTACAAAATAAAAACTATTGGAGATGTGACACTGTACAAAATTATATTAAGTTCTGACAGCATATCTTTTAGTTTTTATATGACTTATTAAACTAAGTTAATCATGTTGTAACTGAATTTTAAGCTATGCAAGCTGTTTTAAGTCAGTTTAACATAATATAAGTTCAATGGACTCAAGGTTAATTTGATTCAGCTTTTTTTTTTACAGTGTATGAATACAAATAATTTCACAGAATTATATTACTGAACCTTACAAACTTGGATAACTTTGTGTTTCTAGGGCAATGTTGACTATTTACTTAATTTATAATGCTATAAACCACTAACTTTTCCTGTATATTTACATTCATAAATTTCATATATAAAATAATATATATATATATATATATATATATATATATATATATATATATATATATATATATATATATATATATATATATATATGTGTGTGTGTGTGTGTGTGTGTGTGTGTGTGTGTGTGTGTGTGTGTGTGTGTGTGTGTGTGTGTGTGTGTGTGTGTGTAAAATGTATGGACTTGTTTATGTCTGGACTTTTCAAAAATGCCTTAAGGAACATGTTTTGAGTAACAGTTACAACAATATTAATGACAACAAATAAATAAAGTAGATTACATTTCATAAAAAAGACACTTGAATGCAGTGCCAAAATAAATAAAAAGCAGTCTCTGGCTTTATCTTACATATGTAGTAGTGTTTTATGGAATTTAACACTATTACGATATAAATAATCTCAAGTACTCAAGAATCCTGCAAGCAAACTCAGTGGTGTGAAGTGTTGATTAAGTGACGATAAAGGAAGCGAGGATGTCTGGATATCTATCGTTCTGCTTGATTCCCTCCTTTTTACAGTCAACGGTTCCCTCGCATCCTGGGGGGGTTGGAGCCTGAAGCCTATATAGACACGAGGAAAGGAAACAAGGGTGCACAAATAAGAATTGGGAAGCACCCCTCGAGTGAGAGAGTGTTCGCTATATCGGAACAGGGGAAGCGAAAGTGCCTCAGCACTTTAACAAACACTTCGCTCAACTTTCCTGAATATCCAGCACAGATCTGTCCCGCAGAAATGGCTGCTGGAAAATGTGGCATTCCTCTGAGCACAGTAAGTAACCGCAGTTGACACAACATCTGTCAACAATCAATGTATATTAATGCAACGTGAATCTTTCTTTGGAGGACTGGTGGCAAATATTTTGGATAAGAATGGTTGTTTTGTTAGTTGCAATGAGCTTGGTGCTATGTTTAATTTGATTGTGTTAAAAATAAACACAACTATTAGAAAGTAATTAGATTTATTACCTTACCATTAATTTATATATTAAAAGAGATCCTAGTTTATTCCACAGTTACACCAAAATTATGGATATTAAATTATGTAAGTTAAATTTTGTGGACAAGAACTGTACAAATTCGTTTATTAGAAAGTGTCTTATACATGATCATGTGTTATGGTAATTTATTTATATATAGTGCAATTTTAGTCTACAAGTCTACTAAAATCCAGATTATAAATAACATAAATAACTGAAATGTAGGTGATTTTTAAAATATTTTAAAATGCTATAATTAAAAAAATTATAAAGATGCTCTAAGAAGATTTTGTAATTTTAGTGTTGAATAATATATATGAGTAAATTTCGTGCAAATGCCAACCTTGCCATGAAAAAAAATTAAGTTTTCACCAAAATACAGAAACTGTTTCTGTTTTTTTTTTTTGTGTAAGCAAGTATTTTACAGAATTTCAAAATACTCAAAAATGTATCTGTCAATGTTTTCAAACTATTATATTTGATTTACCAAAGTCAGATAAATGGCAATTTCACATCTGTCACATCCATAACAGAGACGTGTCGGTTGGGAGGTGTCACATCCATAATGACACTTTTTCCTCATAAATGTGAAAATATGAAATGAAATATTTTTTTGTTTTATAGAGAGCCAACTTTTATCCTTTTTTTAATTAGCATTGTTTCTTTTGGGTTGTGCAGTTTAATTCACAGAATTTCTACAAGTATGTTGTATGCCGTAAACTCACAGACTTTTTTTTTTGTCAAATCCATAACGCATGTTTATTTTCCACATTTAAAGTACAAAACATGCTTACAGATTGATATTTTTCTGATCCCATAACTCTCTGGTTAGTTGTTTTGGAAAATATAAACAAAAATTTCAATATTACAGTTGAAGCCAGAATTATTAGCCCCCATGAATTATTAGCCCCTGTTTATTTTTTCCCCAATTTCTGTTTAACGGAGAGCAGATTTTCTCAACACATTTCTAAACATTTGAATAACTCATCTCTAATAACTGATTTATTTTATCTTTGTCATGATGACAGTAAATAATATTGTACTAGATATTTTAAAGACACTTTTATACAGCTTAAAGTGACATTTAAGGACTTAATCAGGTTAATTAGGTTATCTAGGCAGGTTAGGGTAATTATGCAAGTTCATATATAACAATGTTTTGTTCTGTAGACTATCAATAAAAAATATAGCTTAAAGAGGCTAATCATTTTGTCCTTAAAATTGTGTTTAAAAAATTAAAAACTGCTTTAATTCTAGCCGAAAAAAAACAAAAACAAATAAGACTTTCTCCAGAAGAAAAAATATTATCAGACATACTGTGAAAATTTCCTTTCTCAGATAAACATAATTTGGGTAATATTTACAAAAGAAAAAAAAATTCAAAGGGGGGCTAATAATTCTGACTTCAACTGAACTCTCTATGTTAATTTATGTTTTGAGATTTTACTGCAAATGTCACATCCATAACTCTAGAATTGCTCTATTATATATTGTAATTTACATCTCAAATTAAAAACCCACATTCTATGACAATATTTATAATGTATAAAATGGAATTCACAGAACAACATGGTGTGAAACAATTTTTTGTACTTAGTCACTTATGACCAGGGCCAGACGGCATCAGCAGACATTTTTTGCTATTTCTGCTGAGAATTTTGTAAAAAAATCTGCTGATTTATGCGGAATTATTTTGCGAGTATTGTAACTTAAAACTTACATGAAATGAAAAATAATAGATTTTTAATGTTTATTTAATGTTTACAATGCGAATCCATCAAGATCCACTTGTTTGGTAAGCAAAGCAAGTCTCTCATATAATATATCAACTAAAAGAAAGAAAATATTATATGACAAAATGTATTGTAAATAAATCAAATTAACACTTTAATCTTAGTCAATAATATTACTGAAATTGATAAAAAAATGATTAAATATAAATTTACATGCATTTACTCAAGTAAATAAGTAGACTCAATGATGGGCTAAAAATCTGCAGAAATGTGGATATTTCTGCACGCACAGATTCTGGGCCTAGTCATGACTAAAGCCCACATGGAATCTGTGCAAGCAGAATTTTGCAGATTTTCCACAGAATTCCATAGATTCTTAGATCATCATTAATTCTGTTTATTTACTTGAGTAAATGTGTGTAAATCTATATTTATTCTGTTTTAATTAATTACAGTAATATTATTGACTAATGTAAAAATGTTCAACTGATTGTCTTTTAGTAGAGATATTATATGAGAGACTTGCTTTGTTTACCAAATAAAGTGAATCTAATTGGATTTGCATTTTAAACATTAAATAAAAGTAAAAAAAAAAATATATATTTTTTCTTCACATATTAAGGTTTTAGTTATGATACTCCCAAAATAATTCCACAGAAATTAGCAAATTTTTACCAAAATTCTTAGCAGACCTAGCAAAAAGCATCCGCAGATTCCGTCTGGCCCTACTCATGACTCAAATTAAACAAGCAAAAATAAAAATAGCAAGAAACAGTGAATTAAATGTGACTGAATTATATAAAAACATTTAACACATTTTCTTGTAAACCAATACATTTTTTAACAAAATATATAAGATGCAAGATGCATCACTAAACTTTTTAGCATTTCAGCATAACACATTATTTCCTTTTCGCAGATCAGTCCAAAGTTTCTTCATTCTAATTCCACAAGTCACACCTGGCCGTTCAGCGCTATAGCCGAGCTGATCGGTGAGTTGACTACATCTCACTTTTGTTGACTTATTTGCTAAAAGAAAGACATCATGTTTAATTTCCGGTTTGCATACTTCTCATTATGGAGGCATATTTCAAAACGATTCATAGGATGTTACAGTTTTATTAAACCTGTGTGTGTGTTTGTGTGTATTGCAGATAATGCTTATGACCCAGACGTTCGTGCCAGACAGATGTGGATCGACAGGACGTGCATCAGAGGACTGGACTGCCTCTCTTTCATGGATAACGGACAGGGTTTGACCAGAGCCAAACTGCACAAGATGCTCAGGTACAAAGCACCATGGCTTCACTTAAGCTAATTTAGTGTTCACTTTAAGTACAGCGAGTGAAAAGTGTGTGAAATGGATTTGTAATTACTGGATGTTATAATTGCAGGGGAATCAAGAACTCTTAGTCACTTAATGCAAGGGATTCACTGTGGCCTTATGTCATTAGCACTAAAAGCCTATAACATTAAACCAACATTGAGCACCAGGGCCTACTGCCAGAACAATTAAAGGCTGCTAATTAGCTAGCTTCTTGTGATCGCTCTACTAATTCCAATATACACTATACTGTGCCTAGAGTTGTGAATGAATGAAGCTAGTTTATGAATAGTGCTGGGCAAAAATATTCGCGACTAATGACATCCTAAATAAGAGTTGTTTTAACATAGTATATGTGATACACATATACATAAAAACATTCATTCATTCATTTTCTATTTGGCCTAGTCACTTTATTAATCTGGGGTCGCCACAGCGGAATGAACCACCAATTTATCCAGCACATGCCCTTCCAGCTGCAACCCATCCCTAGGAAACATCCATACACACACACACACACACACACACACACACACACACACACACACACACACACACACACTACGGACAATTTTAGCTTACCCAAATCACCTCTAGCACAAGTCTTTCGACTTGTGAGGGGAAACCGGAGCACCCGGAGGAAACCCACGCCAACACGAGGAGAACATACAAACTCCACACAGAAATGCCAACTGACCCAGCCGAGGCTTGAACCAGTGACGTTCTTGCTGAGGTGATTGTGCTACCCACTGCACCACCATTCTGCCCTACATAAAAACAAAACTGTACAAAATACATTTGTTACATGGATATTTAAAATCATATATAATTCCTATCATAAACAAATACATTATATCCAAATATTAACACACAGTTTCTCAAATATATGCATTCATGTGTGTATTTATGTATACATAATGAATTTACACAGCACCTACACATATATTATGTCAAAACAAACATATTTTGGATGCTATAAATTATGATTAATCTATGCCCAGCACTTCTTATAATGTAAACATTTGACCAGATAATCTATTTAGTAGTATCTTGCATTACAAGTAATCAGATTACTTTTTAAGTAACTAGTAAAGTAACAAGGGCCAGATAGAATCTGTGGACATTTTTGCTATTTCTGTACAGTAAGCATTATAATTCAGTTCAATTCAGCTTTATTTGTGTAGCGCTTCTACAATGTAGATTGTGTCAAAGCAGCTTCACATAAATGGTCATAGTAACAGGAACAGTGTAGTTCAGTTTTTAGTGTTTAAGTTCAGTTCAGTTCAGTTTAGCTCAGTTCAGTGTGATTTAAATCATTTCTGAGAGTTCAAACACTGAAGAGCAAATTCATCGATGCATAGCTCTACCAATCCTGAACCATGCGAGCCAGTGGCGACAGCGGAGAGGGAAAAAAAACTTCACCTGATAGGAGAGTGAAGCAAAAAAACCTTGAGAGAACCAGACTCAGTTGGGCACGACCATTTTATTTCTCCGCTGGCCAAAAGTCTTGTGCAGAGCTTCAGTCACCGCGGTGGAGGCTGGAAGCTGGCCTCAGCGAAGACTCGTCTGTCCCTGGAGCGTCTCTGGAATCAGACTCATGTTCTCCACTCCCCATGACTATCATCAGCGCAGCAGCAGCTCAGGATACGGCCTGGTCCCGGATATGGAAACCTTGGGATCATCTCGTCACTGGTCTTGGATCCAATCAGTGACTCCGCATAATCTGAGGACCTCGGGATGAGTATCCCCAGGTGAAAAAAGAGGATAGAGAGAATAATTAGCGTAGCTGCTGTTCATAGTGTATATAAGTAAGATGCAGAAGCCTGTGTGGAACCCGCTAAGTGATGCACTGAGTGTATGCTTTACTAAACAGAAAGGTCTTTAATCTAGTATTGAACTGGGAGAGTGTGTCTGAGCCTCGGGCGTTATCAGGAAGGCTATTCCAGAGTGTAGGAGCCATAAAGGAGAAGGCTCAACCTCCTTTACTCGATTTTGCTATTCTAGGTACTACCAGAAGCCCTGAGTTTTGAGATCTTAAAGAGCGAGTTGGGTTGTAGCGAGACAGAAGGTTGGTTAGATAAACAGGAGCTAGATTATTTAGAGCTTTATAGTTGTGAAGTAATATTTTAAATTCAATACCAAACTTAACAGGCAGCCAGTGTAAGGAGGATAAAATTGGGGTGATATGATCATATTTTCTAGACCTGGTCAGAACTCTGGCTTCTGAAGTTTGTTAATAGAGGATGCTGGGCAGCCAGCAAATAGAGCATTACAGTAATCCAGTCTGGAAGTCATAAAAGCATGGACTAGCTTTTCTGCATCAGAGATGGATAGCATACTTCGTAATTTAGCGATATTTCTCAGATGAAAGAAGGCAGTTTTTGTGACATGGGATATATGATTTTCAAAAGTTAGATTGCTGTCTAATATGACACCCAGATCTTTTAAAGTAGAGCTAAAGCTAACTTTGTATCCCTCTAATTATAGGTTCTAACTAATTCTCCTGATGTGTTTTAAGCTTTGGTTTCAGTAAAAAGAGAGCTTTGAAACTTCACATTCCAGTTGGCGTGTACGGAAATGGATTCAAATCGGGGTCCATGCGCTTGGGAAAAGATGCCATTGTTTTCACCAAGACTAAAGACACCATGAGTGTGGGGCTCCTGTCGCAGTCTTACCTCAAGGCCATCGGTGCTCAGCGAGTCCTGGTGCCCATGATCACGTTTAGACGCGACGGACAAAACCAGTACGGATTGCTTTCAGTTGAATTACAGCTAGTGCAGTGCAAAGATTCCGGTTTGTATTTACACGCATGCCTTTCTGACTGATCTCTTTACTGTCTCTGGATCTGTGCAGAGTGGAGGACGAAGCCAGTCTGTGGGCGATCCTCACACAATCGCTCTTCAGATCGAAAAAAGAGCTGTTCGATGAGCTCCGCGCCATCAGCGCCGTCGGATACACAGGAACACGCATCATCATTTGGAACCTGCACACGTAAGAAAACAAACAAACAAAAAAAACATTCTCCACTGCATCAACCAATTCAAGGTTTTGAGGGATCACAGATTTACACTTTCTCACATCTTCTGCAATTGGTTTGGGTTTGTAGGGTTGTGGAATGTTAAAGACGTTTACATTTAGCATTAAAGGAATGGTTCACTCAAGACTAAAAATTTACTCGCCCTCAGGTACTACAATCAAACATTTTATATTTATTTTTAATATAATAATAAGCTTGATTTTTAAATAGTGCCTTTAAAGGGGAGCTATTATGCAAAAATCTCTTTTTTAAGTTGTTTAAACACAGCTGTGTGGGAACAGTGTCTGAATTTAGCCCGTATCTAATGGTAATAATTAATGAATTCTATTTTTTTTATAATCACACTTCATAAAAACAGTCTGCAGAAACACTTTGGTTGACATTCTCCCTTTGTATGTGTCATCAGAGGAGGAAAGTCCCGTTCATTACTGACGATCGCTTTCTCTTATGCATAGACAGCCCTGAGTGAGAAGCAGCCGATCGCAGAGTTTTAGTGCTGAAGATAATGAGTTTGTTTACATGGACACCAAAAATCCAATTTTAATGCGATTAAGACAATACTCTGATTAAGAGTCTAACATGTAAACAGCGATTTTTGATTAATTTAATCTGATTAAGGTCATAATCAAACTAAACAGAAGTCTAATTAACATGAATTGACATGTGGAGTATGCTGATTTTAGTCGAATTATTGAAGTGCAGTACAGACTTGTAAACACAGCCATCAAACTAATACCATCATGAAGGATTTTTGCCGCATTTTGCGACAGGATAGTCTATACACATACAGCTATTTGACACTATTCTCTGCACCTATCGAGTCAGAAAAGGACCACAGACACGTACATCACGAAATGCAGTATCAAATTCCATTAAAACGACACTCTTCCGGCAGTTCATACTCTCATCCAATATCTCGTTTGTCACGGGGGGCATGCATGAAATGTTCCTGAATGAAAGTAAAAGTGCCAAACTGCAGTTAAAGTCGACAAATTAAAAATGAAACACCTGAAAATTACATGAAACTCTGGAGGAAATGTGGATAGCACGATGACACAATGACGTTAATTGAATTATGTGCTACAACATGTAAAGCGGGATCATGGAAGAAACATAAAAGAAGGAACTCATGTAAACAAGTCAATCGTATTATTGTCTAATTCAGATTAAGGGAAATTATTCGTCCATGTAACCATAGTCATTAGCAGCAATGTGTTATACATGTTGAATCGAACTCGGGACGTCCTGCAATGCTGCCCACTAGGCTATGGACACAGACAAAGAAGATATTTTGAAGAAGCTGAAAAATAATAGTCACTGACAAACATAGTCGTGAAAAAATTATGTGGAAGGCAATGGCTAATGTTTTCCAACATTTTGCAATATATCGTTTTTCTGACTCAATTTCAACATAGGTTCATTCTAAAAATGTGAAAATGAAAACCTTTCTGGAGATTGCAAATTATGTAGCCAGAGGTACGGTATTGCTGCATTTCATCTTTAAAACAAACGCTAAGGGGCGGTATGATGCGGTTTCTTTTCGCGTTTACGAGCTGACTGCTTAGCTCCGTATGGACGGCATTCCCGCTGATACCAGTTTGTCCAGAAGCTCGCCATGTACGTCTGCAGACTTGAGATGCAGAGAGGAGTTGACTATGATGTTGGGGTTCGAGTCTGGTGAAGAACGGTTCCAGAATGCGGGTAAAACAAAAACAGAAGCCAAAAAATAAAATAAACAAGTAAATAACAGGGTGAAAATGTGGTAAAATCTGAAAACGTGGTAAAAATCAGGCGAGGGCTTTCTTTTTCTGGATTGCCTTTTAAAACTGCCGCTTGGGTTTAGGGATGTGTGTGTGGGCGGGTTTGTGCTTTTGAAAACACTATTGGTTGGGTTAAGGGAAGGAGGAGGGTGGGTCATTCGATCAGTCAGTCGTTTGACGGCGGCCTCTGGGGGACTTAAGATCTGGTGGAATTTAAGATCTCAAAAAGCGTACACAGCAGCCCCTGGTGCAATGCTCGAAAACGAAAACTGCAACAACAAAAAATTAACCTTGAGGGACGTATTTCGTGATCTACAGAAATATATACAGGGGTACGTTTTCAGAATGAGTCTGGATTGCACAATTTAAATTTTGGGTGAACTATCCCTTTAAAAATAAACATTCTGTCACCATTTACTCATCCCTAGCTTGTTCCAAACCTGTTTGAGTTTCTTTCTTAATCAGGTAATTTATAAGTTTTTTTTGTTATTATAAACCAAAGTTTCCTGAGTAAAATAGATATATGTCCAGATGGATAAATGTGAGGAAAGCCTGTGAAGAAAATCTGTATGAAGGACTGTGCATAAAAGACTATGTGTAAAAGACAGACTGAGAGATTCTCTCTTGAGTTTTCCAGCTGTTGTTTCTAACAATATAGTCTGTCTTCTTGCATCAAAACATTAAGACTTTTTCACAGAAGAAGCAGACTCCACATCACTTTTTGCTGACATTACAGGACATGTTGTTAAAACAGATGGCCATCTAAAATGATAAGTTTGCTAAAAACTAAATTACATTTCAAAACATATATTTTAGAAACAAAATTTCAGCTTATTGCTCTTTATTGTGTTTAAAATCTAATAAATACAGCCTTGGTGAGCATTAGGGACTTTAAATATTAGATAAACGCTTGTGAACTTTTTTTGTATAATTTGAGTTTTAATAATGACCCATAACTTGTGTTTTATAGGACAACAAATGGCGAGACTGAGTTTGACTTTAACACCAGTAAATATGACATTCTGATCAGGTGGAACATCAGTGAGAGAAGCAACGGTGACCTCGCCATGATCCCAGAAAGTGAATACTCATTACGGGTGAGCGGAAATATCTTCTAGATAGAGTTGATGGTAGAAACTAGAGTTGAATAATATATCGTTTGATCATCGATATCACAATGTGAGTATCCGCAATAGTCACATCGCAGGATTAGATTATTTATCAAAGATTAAAAGATAAAGATATTATTATATAATATGTATATATTATTGTATAAAATTAGTTATACAATGACAACCATGTCCTTTTACTATTGATTTTTTAAAGTCTTTGTATTTGAATACAGTTAGACTCCAAAGAAAACCGTAAAGCACTGTTTATTTGACTTTTTTTATTTGTTTATTTTTGCTTGTAATTTACTATATTTCATGCAGATGCACCGCATAAAAAAGGTCAAAATAATTAACTCCTTTCAAATCAAGCTATTCAAATGATCTGATAAAATTTATATTCATATCACAATATACAGTTGAAGTCAGAATTATTAGCCCCCCTCTGTTTATTTTTTCCCCATTTTCTGTTTAACGTAGAGAAGTTTTTTTCAACACATTTCTAATTATAATAGTTTTAATAACTCATTTCTAATAACTGATTTATTTTATCTTTGCCATGATGACAGTAAATAATATTAGACTATATATTTTTCAAGACACTTCTATACAGCTTAAAGTGACATTTAAAGGCTTAACTAGGTTAATTTGGTTAACTAGGCAGGTTAGAGTAATTAGGCAAGTTATTGTATAACGATAGTTTGTTCTGTAGACTATTGAAATTTTTTTTTGCTTAAAGGCGCTAATAATTTTGTCCATAAAATGGTTCTTAAAAAATTAAAACTGCTTTTATTCTAGCCGAAATAAAACAAATTAGACTTTCTCCAGAATAAAAAATATTATCAGACATACTGTGAAAGTTTTCTTGCTCTGTTAAACATAATTTGGGAAATATTTAAAAAAGAAAAAAAATCAAAGGGGGGATAATAATTCTGACTTTAACTGTATATTGCACTAAAACAAAGTATCCCAATGTCAGAGTTTTCCAATATTGTGCAGCCCTAATATAAATTGAAATTATTGTTTATTTGCTTCTGTGAAAAGAGGCAAATATTATTTACAACTTCAAGAGTTCACACTTAGATATTGCTTGACAACTGTTAGCAGGTTTGGCATGCTGTCCCGGGAGAGAACCCTGAGCTCGGAGATAGTTGAGACCAGGGCTCCTGCAAGGTCCATAGAGCATGTGAGGGGAGTACGAGATCAGGTGGTTCTCAAGAGCTCCCCTTTGTAAAGGAGGAAAGGAGGAGAAAGGGGTGGATGGGGGGTTTCTTCGGAAAACGAAGATAAGGGAGTAAATCTAGCTAGGCTTCTTATAGTGAGTAAGGATAGATTCGATTGGCTAACTAATGAGTGTAGATAGGAGACCAGCTGCAGTCAATCATATCACGTGCTCCTCTTGAAATTAGTTTGAAAAACTTCTCTTAAATATAATTTTTAACATTTAAATAAAGTATGTTTACAATGAAATAATTCAACTTTGATAATAAAACTTTTTTTTACAGCTATGGAAAACATGAGACCACTTGAAAAGTCTCACTTTTCCTGCATTTACAATTTGTAGTTATGTTATAATTCATTCATTAATTTTCTTTTCGGCTTAGTCCCTTTATTAATCTGGGGGCACCACAGCGGAATGAACCGCCAACTTATCCAGCATATGTTTTAGGCAGCGGATGCCCTTCCAGCTGCAATCCATCCCTGGGAAACACCCATACACTCCCATTCACACTCATACACTACAGACAATTGTAGCTCACCTAATTCACCTGTACCGCATGTCTTTGGACTGTGGAGGAAACCGGAGCACCCAGAGGAAACCCACGCCAACACAGGGAGAACATGCAAACTCCACACAGAAATGCCAACTGGCCCTGCCAAGGCTTGAATCAGCGACCTTCTTGCTGTGAGGTGACAGTGCTACCCACTGCACCACTCATATTGATCATTATAGTCTTTTAACTCATGGTGTTAATTGCAATTTATTCACCTGCAAAATATTTAAGCAATTAAAACTCTTCATAGTTGGTGCGAGATTAATTATTTTTTATTATTATTGTTATTTTCCTATAGGCATACTGTAGCATCTTATACCTGAAACCTCGCATGCAGATCATCATACGTGGACAAAGAGTGAAGAGTCAACTGATATCCAAAAGTCTGGCTCATATTGCGCAGGACAACTACAGGCCGTCATTCCTTGTATCCTTTCAAAACATATTATGCTTGTTTGTTGTTGTTCTTTGGAGTCCACACACACACATAACCATCATCCGGATGTTGACATTTCTTAACCCCTCCTTCAGAATAAGCGTTTGCGCATCACTTTCGGATACAACACCAAAAGCAAAGAGCATTATGGGATTATGATGTACCATAAGAACAGACTTATAAAGCCATACGTGAAAGTGAGCTGCCAATGTAAGGTAACCTGAAACGATCGTGTGTTGCTTCAGCTTCTTTATTCCCATAAATCCAATCCTGAAAGCGGCGGTTTTGCGTTTCTAACAGGCCGAGAGGAGAGGCGTGGGCGTTATTGGTGTTATAGAGTGCAATTTTCTTCAGCCCACTCACAACAAACAAGACTTTGATGACACCGATAAATACAGGTGCGCTGTTTATCACTCTGCTGCTATTTACTCTAAATCATGCCCTTGGGTTGCTTTGATAGAAAGGCACTATTTTGTACAGGAAGATCATGCACAACCTCAGCATAAAGCTGGAGGAGTACTGGAACGAAATCCGCTACAAACGAAAGAAAGAGGATCCAAAGTGCACCGTGGCGGTAGAGGATGTGTTGTGAGTATTGCTGTCAAGAATATGTCAGTAGCCATACAAATCACAAGTTTGTTTGTTTTCTCACTCACTTCTCACTTGTCACAAACCTGTTTGAGCTTTGTTGAACATAAAAGAAGATATTTTGGAAACTTGTGACCATTGACATCCATATTTGTTTTTACTAAGGATGTCAATGGTTACCTTTTTCCAACATCTTCGTTCTCACTCTATTTTGATGGTCAGTTGGTTGAATTTAAGTTACATTGCAACTAATTGTCATTAGATTATTAGGTTGACTGTTAGGTTGGGGTTAGGGTTGCTGGCTCGTACCCAGGGGGGGTTCGGGTGGTTTGAAAGAACTACCCTGCCCCCACTGACAAACATCCAGAATTTGCCATTGGTCCAGAATTTTTGCCACACTCTCATTTGACCTTTTTTGACTGCTATGTCATTATAAATAGTGGAAAAACCCATCAAATGTTTTAAGAAAACACACAATATGACATAAGTGAAGTCAACTTTCAATATTGACCGACTGTTGTTAAAAAAACATTTTACGAATAGCCTAACTTTTATTATAAATCTTGAATCTTATTCTTGAGATAAAAAATTGACCAATGAAAAGCTCCGAAGCACCAAAAGCAGCCTATTAAAGTAAATTTTATTACTATTTAGGCTGTGTATAAGAATCTAAAATCAAACAAAAAGTTCTCAGGGGTAGCTTAAATAATATGTCGGTGCCCTTTGTGTAAAGGATTCATCACAATAAACAGCAAAATCAGTCCAAGGCATCAGTTGTACATCAACATACTAAAATAAAAGTCTCAGCAATTTCCAGTTGCTTTGGATTTTAAGATCAACATCTGTTTATAACATTATACTAAAACTAAGTTGAACCTAATGCAGGACTAGAATCAATATAGCTTCTAGTAAGGACAGTTTATTCCAGTCTCTGATCTCTGATGTTTGGAGACAAACAGGGTGAGAATGTTTACATTTCGCAAGTTATTTATCGTTAGAATTAGCTAGTAGTGTTATCTTAAAGGACGATCTTGGCTGGAGCTCACATTGGGGGTAACATTCTGCAGCATCCTGCTTTTACTGTCATTTTAAATGTGTCACCTCTGACACCTGTGGCAAAATCTCTAAGGAATGCCTATAAAAGACAGTGTGAGATTTAGATGACAGCACTTCAAAAAGAGATTTACTTCTTGAGAGTTTTTGTCTTGTATCTAGTTCAAATATCTAAAGAAGCGTTTCTTAGTTAAGCAAAACATACTGTCTTGTTTTTAGAAATAATAATTCTAAATTAAGTGAGTTTTTCCTTAAAACAAGCTAAACAATTTGCTAATGGGGTAAGCAAAATAATCTCATGTAAAAAGGGAAAATAAGATTATTTGGCTCACCCCATTGGCAGATTATTCAGCATTTTTTAAAGTAGAAACTTGCTTAATTTTTGCATTTTATTTCTTAAAACAAGACTTTATGTTTTTTGTCATGAAAATGCCTCTAGATTTAAGAAGTTTTAGATATTTAGATTAAAAACAAGACAAAAACTCTAAGAAAAAATATTTTTTTGCTGTGTATAGTACAATCAGCACATTCTCAATAAAAAAAATCTGCTTTAAGAACCCCGAAGTCTCTGCTTCTACAAGAAAAAAAACTTCACTTCTAAATTTCCTACAGACTTTAAGTGATGTAGTATTTTGTGTTGATGTAAAACTACATCCATTTTAAAACACATTCTTCCAAAATTTCAAATTTTATGTTCATTTGATGAAGGAGTTTAAAACAGCATGGTGGAATTTGACTTTTTCAGTTTTTTTTTGGGTGAACTGTCCCTTTAATTCTTTATTGTCTTCTCTTGTGCCGTCGTCCTCCAGGAAAGACCCAGATCAAGTGTGGGTTCAGTGTGACAGCTGTCTGAAGTGGCGGAGGCTTCCAGATGGCATCACTGAGCTGCCGGAGAAATGGTTCTGCAGCATGAACTACGACCCACAGTTCAGGTGACAGAAACAGAATAGTTGTCATGATATCATAAAGGAAAATGTAAAGATGGGTTTTGAAAGAAGATCAAATGATGGAAAGAAATAATTGACATTGTTTCTAGGTCAATGGATTACCATTTTCTGTTTTGGATTACCATGCTCAAATCCCTACTACAAAACTTAAAGGGCAGATATAATGCAAAATCAACTTTTGGAAGCTGT